CGGGAAATATCACTTTGAAATAGTGCTGGTCTATTTATAAAATAATTTATTCCTTACTACGCATTCTAACAGTAAAATATAAATATAACACTTAAACAGCATTTTATTGTCTTAAATAGTCGGATTGTTGCTTCTTTAGATTACACACCGAGTTACGCTGCAAGAAAAGTATGTAAGAGAATCACACATTTATCATGTATATCGTGCATGCATCTCGAATATAAATCATGTGACTTTTACGCTTGTTCACGCAATTTTACGTACTTTCTTTGTAACGTGGGAAAAATATGAGAATGGCGTAAAAAAGATATATAAAATTACGCGAACGGTAAGCGCAAAAATCACACGAAAATGTATACAATTACATCACGAATCGTGCGACTTTTACACTTGTTAACATAAATTTGCGTATTTTTTTTTTACCCAAATACTCCAAAGGAGTACTCGCGGGACCTTCAAAGGCCTTTCTACGCGAGCAACATCTCTCGGAAGTTTACGTACGTTAATCCCTAACGATTACGGCATTTGTAATTGCTGCGGAAACGCGAGTCGCGCTCGATACGTCGACACCTTACTTGCTATTTCCGCGGAGGAGTCGCCATTTCGCCGGCGTGGTTTTTGCCGCGCGAAACGCAATGCGGAACGCAGATTGCTCCGAATATGGAAGCGCGAGGATTTCGCGCAGGGTGGAGGAAAACATGTATACGCGCGCGTGTACGCGCGCACCGCACGTGCCCATTACGTAAAGCGACCAAGTGGCCGCGTATACGGTGTCACCTTGCTGTCCGCGCGCGGCGACGACGACGACGACGACGATTCGACCCACGCACAGTACCGCTACGCAAACGCTACGCAGATACCGCGCGTGGAGGCTCGCGCGAGACCGTGCATACGGGATGCCGCACTTTCTCGCGATCGCGAACGCATCGGCTCGGATTCCGGGGCGATCTTTCCGTCGCGTCCTTGTCCGGAATCTCCTTGCGCTTAAAAGTGCCGATTCGACATGGTTAATCCGCGATGACGCGATGATATCGACGATCAGATTCACGAGGAGAGAGAGAGGGAGGAAGGGAGTAAAAGGAGATCGCGAAGAGACTCGGAGGAATTTTTGAAGAAACATTTCATAGCACGCGAACGTACAAACATGAGCGAACGTAGCGTTCCTTCTGCGAGCTTATCAGGAAAAAGGAAAATAAATGGAGACGTTGAAGAGGAACGAGAGGTCTCGAGATCGAAGCGCGAGATTCGAGAAAACCTGCCATGCATAAAGCAGCCTGGGTCGCGACCGGGTTCAGGCGGAGATCCTGTTGGGAGTTCTCTCGCCGCGGCGCGGACGATGCACCGTCAGCATCGTCAGGCCTTACGCCTTCGTTGCCGTTGTAATATCTGTTCGATCGAACGAAACGGCGCGGCTTAGCCGACCTACTTACGGCCGACCGCTCCCTGCTCTCGAGTCCTTTTTTCAGGTTTTTCCTTTCCTTTCCTTTCGGCTAATCGCGCCACGGCAACGCGCGCCTTCGCCATTTACGCCGTGTTTATCGCGCTTATCTGCATACAGACCAGAAACAATGTGTCGGATGATGAAGTAATCGACGCGTTGCATTATATATACATATATACATATATACATCTCGTGCGGAATTTACGGGTCGCCGTAAACGTCATAAGGCGGGGTGTTTTATCGCCGGTCTTGAGAAACCGCCGGTTGATGGCTGAAGACTCGAACTCGTATTCCACACCCCGCGTTCGACGTCGAAGATATACACCGCCACCATAGATACTCTGAACGTTGACAATGTCAAGTGCGATTCTCGTGTTTGTAAGCGCGAGTGAAATCGGATTGGACGAGATGTGACTTTTTTCAGTTGTAACTCATTGACGACTACTTTCTTCGCGTGGACAGTGGTTGAAGACCGATTTCGCGACGACAGGCGGAGTCCGGGAATACAGAAGCTAAACGCGGCCCCGGGATAGATTCGACAAGCGCCTCAGTTGCCGTAATGGCAACGACCTCGAGGCCTCGTGTACATCAGGAAGTGTACTCCGCTCGTTCCAGCACGCGCTCCCTGGGTTTCGCATTGGGAATTGTGAGGATTCAGTCGTTGCGTCCGAGCCCGGGCATCGATCTTCTCCGCTCGATCGCTCTCGTGGCACTCGGTTCCGCGAGCGAGCGCATTCGTCTCAACACCCTTTCGATCTGGCCGGCAACTATAACGTCGTCTATCTGAGGGAACCGAGTCGACGCGTTTGAAACAAGTACAATACATTTTGCGCCTGCCGTGCGTCCACATCTTCTCGTGTTTAATCGAATATTTTAATACTTTCGCGTCAAAAAGGTTGTTGATTGATAGGATTGAGGAAAATAATAATTTAAGAAAAATAATAAAGCCACTTATAATTTTCTTGCCGATTTTCCTGGATGCAATCAAGAAACATGAATTTATCGTTAATTAAAATCGACTCGGATTGTAGACCGCGTCTCAGGTCCCGATTTACCGGAATTTTCTCGCCATCCGATCCTCTTGGCCGATTACTCCTCCTCGTCTTCTTCGCTCCGTGAGCAAGCCCGTTCCTCTCGATTCCGACTCGATGTACCGGTTCTCATTTCATTTTCTTTCTCTTTCTCCCTGCCTGAAGGGGAAAGAGAAGCGAAAGGAAAAATGTGAAAGAGGGAGACGGAGAGATAGCGTGGAACAAACGGGGAACAGGCGGAGGAAACCGGACGGGGAGCCAGGCACGACGAAGAATCGAGAGAGGGAGAGAAAGAGAAGGACAGCCGAAGATAGGCAGAGGCGTACATCGGTACCCCGGTCACGACGATTGCGCTGCAGGTATTTATAGCGCGGCCGAACCTGTTAGGGGGATTTGGTCAGAGGAACTCACGCACGCATGCACGCACGCATGCACGCATGCATGCATGTATGTATGCACGCGGCGCGGTTCTCTCCACCGAAGGTTGCCCGACAAACGGAACCGCCATTTTGGTGCCTCACCGTCGCGGCCGCTGCTGTGGCTGTTACCTTCGGGGGTTCGAACAGTGACGCAAGAGATTGCGCAAAAGATGTCGTTAGGCGCCTCGTCTAACTCGTAATTTCGAGGTCGGGATCGCCGCCGGATGATTTCGAGCTCAGGGACGAGTCTTGCGAGAAGATCGAGAAAAGACCGTCCTCCTCGAGGTCGCCGCGGGCGTGGGGATTTAAATTTCACGCTCGGCCTACTCCGATCATTCGGAATTTCGACGGGGTGCTTCGAGGTCCTAGCGGCCCCGTGTACAATCGTATTATGCGTTATACACAGAAAAAAAGTGTTGGATCAACTCTTATATACTCAAATTAACGCATTCAATTATTTTACGCAACAACCTATAATCTTCTTAAAAGCATTTGACAATCTTACGTTCCAACAATACTGCAGTCTTATTTAAATACTATAATTGTCACTTCAAGAATACGCATAATATGATATCTTCGAAGACGAAGAGTCTTTTGTTCCTTCAATATATTTCCCACAATGACCTCAAAGTAAAACGCCACGTCCTCGAGCAGATAGTTTCCTGGTTATTCGCTCCAACGGTATGATTATACAGTGTCCTCGTGTTCGTCGAAAAGCACTCGGCAAGTCTCGAAAGTCGAGAGACTATGCGCATTGCACATATAACAGATCACCTTTATGATCGCGATCAATCGTAATGCCGCTGGTGCACTGCGCTGCGATAAAAAAAAAACAATTACCAAAAATTGCGGTTATTAAGCACCAATCGATATTGCCGATGATAAATCCGGGGACTTTCCTTATCTTCCAATTAGTTCTGTATTGGGAACAGTTTCGTTGATGTAAAACCATTCATCATGGCGCAAAACCCTTTAATTTCGATATCACGACTGAAGATGACCGAGGATATCGAGCGGCCCTCGATGCCTGTTCGCTCCGAAAGGAATATCAATGGGGGGGGGGGGGAGACGATTGGTACCGCAATTGCTTGTCACATTCGCTAATTAAAGACAGTTACTCGCCGGTGTAGTCCGAGAAATGCTCGAGGAGAAAAGCGGGATATCACGTACGCTCGCGAAGGACGAATGTACGACGAAGAGGCCGTAGTCGCCATACGGTACCTGCGAATCTTCAAGGTTGCTCGTAAATTCTGGCACGGTGAGCAGCGGGCCAACCGCCAGCCGATGGTTATGACCGTCATCGTCGTCGCCGCCGTCGTCGTTGTCCCGTCCGTGCATTACGTATGCCGAGTCCCGATCGGCTCGCATACGTATTCAATTCATGTCTCTTCTTGCGTCGCACGTCGCCGTTCGTGTACGAATCGCAAATCCGTGTCGCGCGCTAAGTGCTAAGTCGTGCGAACCTTGAAGCAGGAAGTTTTGTACAAATTCCAACAATCCTCCCATGCTTATTGTTCGCCGCACTGAAGAAAATTGTAGAACGCCAGCAGAAGCAAGGTTGACACAGAGCAAAGTTCGCATTTCTGCAAAAATGCCCTCCTGCCTTGCCAATTGCCATTGCGGTCTTTGCTTTCTTCACGATTCTTCAATTAGATTATAATAAATATGATTTACTTCATATTGACCAAAGACGTTAATCAATACGAGTTTAGTTAGTGCAAATTCACGCCAAGCTCATAAATATGTTGCCTCCAGATGCCAGCAATAATTAGTTCATTCGCTAATATATGCTCGTCTGATGTACCGAAGACTTTCTTGTCGATTGGACAATTAATTATACAATAGCTTTAGATACTTAACTGTCGTAATAGTATATTTTATTAATGAAGAAGGAATCGGAAGTAAAAACCCTCAACAATCTATTTAATCGAATTAAATAATAGCATACGAAAAGATTTGTTTTGTCGTACAAGAAAAAACCTTCCTACAAGCTTTTTTTCGTTAACTCAACGTAGCCTCAATTGTATAGAAATTTAGCCAAATAATTCGCCAGCACAATACTAATGAAACTTGAATGGAAAAAGTAATTTGTATTATTTTTTACAATAGATCGTGACAAGACTGATGAAGACCGTGCAACAACCCCGGAATCCTTTCGCAGCAGCAGTCCAGCTCCGTCGCCCTCGCCACCGCACCCGGCGAGCAATGCGGCTAATCCGCCGCCAAGAAGATTCATTTCCAGCATCCTCGGTGGTGTTGTACCGTATGGCAGCAAACACCACGTACCCACTCGGGCAGAGCGAAAGGAGTACAGCAGCCCACCTATAGCCTCGGATGACCCACCACAATTTCTGTCCAAGGCAGAGAAAATTGCACTCCCGAGGCCGCAGACACCGCCGAAAACACCTCGTGTCGAGCCACCTACAAGAGTTTCAGTCATACAGAGGGTGCCGACTCAAAGCAATTCAAGAAAGGAAGAAAATAAAATCGAAATCGAAAGAATTGGTCCGATACAAACACCCGAGCCAGAACAGGTAAGGAAAGTGAAGTGAAAAATGATCTTTGAATTACGGGAGGATTTTCAGTGAATAGAGTGCATCGCTTTAAAACGCACGTGTGTTTATGTATCTGTTAGTTAGTAAAATAAGCCAACTCGCGTTTAGTTGAATGGCAAAGGCAATAATTTTGCACATGGCATCCAGCGTGTATTAAAGCGTTTCGCACACCTTACTTTTTTTTTTATTAAAAACTTACGAATCTGAATATTAAAAATATACTGAAGACATTTAAGTACGTCCGAGGGAGCAGAGAAGTCTGTTATTAGGCTGATTCAGTCATGCTTCGTTAATTTCGACAGGATTTCGTTAACCTCCTCGCAATGCTTCATACATTATGTATAGCGACAAAGTAGATAAAGAAGGGTGAGTGCAAAATTTTGCACGGTATTATGCGTAACGTTTACTTAACATGCGGTCTACCGAGCAGTTTCTTGGCGATTTTGCACGCTGTCGTTTTTCATATCAAAGTACGAAAGCTTGTAGAGCCTATGAAAATGTGTACAGTAATTCGTAGTAATTTTGCATGCAACTGTGTGTGACTTCTTGCGAAGAGAATGAAATAAAAGAATGTAAAACTCTATCCGTTAGGAACAGATTCGATTTTATATCGAAAGTTAAGAACGGAATTTCAATGCGAGGTTTCGGTTTGAAAAATGCCTATCTAGAAAACTTAATATTAATATTAAAAGTAAGGAAAAGAGAGAAAATTTTGATAATATACGTGAAGAATAATAGAAAACAAATGATAGCAAGAAGCAAGAGAGAGACATAAACGATCATTACGCGCAAAGAGACTTCAATACCAAGAAGAGAAGAAATGAACGAAAGAAACGGATGGAAAAGCGAGAAGGTAGAAAAATCGAAAGATGTGCGGAGAAGAGTCTGGATTCGTAAATGTAAGATTATGCTAGTGAGTGAGCGAGCGAGAGGAGAGAGAGTCGGGGGAGAGGAGAGGTGGCAAAAAGTAGGAAAAAGAAAATGGAGAGAAAAATGTGGTGATCATTTGGACGTTTTCGTAACGATTAAAGAAAAAGAAAATAGAAAATTAAGATAATAATACGGCATATTCAGATTATATCTAAAGATAGAAAATGAAGCTATCGGGCATTAATATTAACAACAATTTCAGGAGCAGCCTATAGATTATGCGGTACCGAAACGCAAGAAGGAGGATGAGGAGAAGTGTCGCGAAGGCGCGATGGCGTCGCGCAGCTCCAGCACCTCGATCTCCAAGTCTCTGCTAGCCGTTAAACTCTCCGGGTCTCAGATAGTGCAAGCGGCCGCGGGACATGGTAGATCCTCGAATTCGGGTGGTTCTTCCGGCGGTGGTGGCGGTGCCGGCAATTCCTCACCCTCGTCGAACGGCGGCGGCGGCGGCGGCGGCGCTATGATCGGTGGGGGATGCGGTAACGGGGCAATGATTGGTAGCGGTGGTAGTGGTGGCGGTGGTGCTTTAGGCGGGGGTGCCGGGGCAGGCGGTATGCCTCCCGGCGGAAACGGGGGCCGCGGTAACTACGGACCGAGTTCGCCACCGACAGGATCCTTGCCGCCGTTCTATGAATCCCTGAAGGGTGGCAACAATCTCGCCAACTTCGCCAACCAGTACAACAGCTCTCAAGGTACACGAGCCTACGCTTTTTTTTTTCATTTTTACTCGTCTCTCTCGTGTCAGAAAGACATGAAATTTCTGGCTCTTGGCTTGATAATTCGTTGAAATTTTTAATGATACACGATTCATTAGAAATATATTTAGAATTCATTACTAGATTGATTCTAACATAATTTCTGACCCTTGTAGACGTAACGTTTTAATTACATTTTATAATTAAATGGTATTAATTGATTAACTAGTTATTAATTATTATAACTAGTTATTGATTAACTAATAATTAAAGTAACAAAAGATAGAAGCGTTATTTTTAGTTATTTGTTTTGTTAATTTGATTGTTAGTGCGCTAAATCAGTTAGATTGTAGAGTAAAATTTCTCGTTTATTACAATACTAGACAACACAAGCACGCGCTTCGCACGCGCCATTTGCTCTCTCTAAAAACAGACAACAAAGTAGGACGTTTCGAAGTGAGATATCGTTTACATTCTTTATTTCCAAATGGATGATTGTGTCGATGGTGATCAATTCTGATCTAGAGTGTTCAGTGTACAGTACAGGAAATCTTATCCTTTATTAATGTGTTACGAAATTGTAATTACACGTCCCACGTTTGGACGTGTCGTGCTTCAGATTATTTCATACATTCTTTTTTGTTGGTACTACCTTTTCGTCTTGTGCCTATATGTATGGTACTGTATTTTATATTATCTGTCTAACATTTTACATCGCATTTTTAAATATTGTTGTGACACCCGTCTTCGGAAGTCACGGTCTCTACGATGCAAACATTGTTACAGAACTGCGTATTACAAGGTATCATTTTTTGGAAAAAAAAATGCTATTTCTATTCCAAGATATTTTTTCAACTGTAAGACATTATTCTATAGTGTGTACAATCAATTCACTTTAAATAATCAAATTACCACGATACTCATTCTTGGAAATTTGAATCATATAATGCACAAAGTGTCATGGGATATGTTGTCACGTAAGTTTATTAATTCTTTCGTGATTACTGATATGCATAAAACTATACTTACATATTTTTTTAAAGATCGTGATTTAGCATGCATTTTTATCACTAAAAGACATATCAAAAAAGAATTAAAAATAATTCGATCACGAAAGAGTCCAATTAAAAATAAAAAATTTTCAAGACAATCCTTAATCGTCCGTGTTATTGTTTCAGGGAATGCGTATCTTACGCCGTTGACAGCCGTCGGGATAGAATGCGACACCGGTCAACAGGACAACTCTCAGCACACACAGTACAATGCGCAGGAGGGCAAGCAATACTCTCTCCTTCAGAATGTCTGCGCGTCCTATGGTCTGACATTCAAGGAGGAGGAAGAGGAGCTGGCAAACTACAAAATTCAGAATGATTTGCTGTCCGGCCAGTACGGCACCTACGATGCCGATACGAGCATGATGGTGGACATGGTGACTGGTGCCATGGTGGTAGATCCGCTACAGTTCACCGCGGCAACCTTGACCTTCAACTCACCGTCCGATCATACGGCGCTCCTCGAGACTCTCAACGATGCCGCGGATCTCCTGTTGCCCAGGCTGCAGACTGAGGACGGCGGCAGCGATCTCCTGGAGGAATCGCTGCACTCGCCTGCCTCGACTGGCAGCAGCGGGATCGGTCAGGATTCTGGTCAGATGACCACTCCCGTCGAGCCTAGCGTCGATCCTTTCCCCGAGCATAGCATGGCCTTGACCAGGGGCTTTGACACGAGGTGAGCTCAACTATCGTGAGAAACACTCGCGCGATTAACTAACGCTCCATACACTCGCCGTTTGCTTTCATCGTAATCGTGGTCGAGTTTGAAAGTTGATCGTGTAATACCGATCGTGAATTTCAATCGCGCGATAGAATTACGTGTTAATGATGGATCGCGTGGCCTTTTTCTAGACACTATACGACTTCGCAACACTTCAACGCGTCCAAGCTCGCAGGGTTGAGCTACGCGGCTGGTGAGACGAGCTATCAATCACTTCAAAAGGAACGTCCAGAGCTCGGGTTGCATGTCAATCAGAATCACCAGCATCAGCAGGAGCAGCAGCTTCAAATTCAGGTACAGCTACAGCAGCAGAAGCAACAGACTACATCGCCGCACCAGCAGCAGCAGCAGCAGCAGCAACAACAACAGCAACAACATCAAAGTCTTCTGAGTCCCGGATTAAATTTCAACAATGGTAAATTATCACGAATTATTGCTCTTTTATTTTTTCGTAATTATTACTGAGCTAACATTGGAATTTTTACACAAATATGTTTGCACGTATGCAATACCTAGTTTTAAATTTGTCAATTAATAAATTTTTAATATTAAGTTTTGTAGTTATATTAAAGTATTTGAAATAGTAATTAAAGTAGTTAAAAAAGTTGTATAAAATATGATATAATTTTTCGCTAACAAAAGATTTTTAAATCATTGATCTAGGACTAAGGATTAATAGCGTTTTAACGGTTCGGTTTCTTAATCTCGAAGGTTTAGAGATAGACTCCGGCAGCAGCGTAGGTGGAAGCTTACCCAGCCCTGGCACTGCAAGCTGTTCTCTGGACGGCGCCTCGACCGGCACCTCGCCATCATGCGGACTGGGAGATCACGCGCATAGTCCAGTTGTGTCACCTACTACAGTCGCAGCCCAAGCCGCTGGATCCGTAAGCGAACCGCCGCTCTCACAACGGGTTGGTGTATTACAACAAAGGGTAAGGGACCCAAATTGATCCAGGCAAAAGCATATTTTTTCGCAATATTATTGCCCGAGTGCAGAATCGAGTTGACGACACTTCCGGCTGTCGTTTACGTTACGATCCATGGGTTCCTCGAAGTCTTCGATTTGATCGAATTGTCCGAGCACGCTCGTAGATCGGTTTCAATCGTGAGGTCGGTATATGTGAAAATTGATAAGGAGTGGATCGTAAATTCCCACTCTCACGCGTACTATGCAATGCTCAATCAATTTGAGTGCTTCATCCGATGTCATCTACTCGTTACGAAAAGTAGTACAGCGAGAGTTAACGTGTCTTCTCATCGGTTCGTAGCTGGGTTTACCGAGCGATTGTCAGCTAGAATTTGTTAATGGTGGTCATGGCATAAAGAATCCTTTAGCCATCGAGGGTCAGAGGCAGCCGACAACTACTCGAGATGAAGAAAGAACTAATCGCACTCCGCCTGGCAAGGTAACGATGCTTTGCGAAGGATTGCGTTAGGCCTGCGCAATTGTCATTATTAAAGATACAGCTGTGACATAACAAATCCATCATATCGAATCGCTAAATCGATGTCGCGAGATTGCAAGAGGTCGTTATAGCGTAGTTAATCTTCGATCCTTTGCTCAATAGGACGACGATCCCAGTCGCTTCACCTGCCGCGTGTGCAGCAAGAACTTCAGCCTTCAGCGGCTTCTCAATCGTCACATGAAGTGTCACAGTGATGTGAAACGTTACTTGTGTACATTCTGCGGGAAGGGCTTCAACGATACATTCGATCTCAAGAGGCATACGCGGACGCACACAGGAGTACGACCCTACAAGTGCTTCCTCTGCGAGAAGAGTTTCACGCAACGGTGCTCGCTGGAAAGTCACGGCCAGAAGGTTCACGGAGTTCAGCATCAGTACGCGTATAAGGAGCGACGTGCTAAGGTAAATTATTTATAGAAAGCGATGTCTTGAAGAAGAAAAAGCGCGAATTTTCTTCTCTTACTTTTTTTTTATTTAACTGTACAAAATTGATACACCGAAGCAGTACTTTGCTTAAGTATTTTTCTAAGATTACTCCTTTTTTCATTTTATTTTATACATTTATGTGGATATACATATTTTATCTACACGCGGTATATCTGTTCGATAGATGTACGTCTGCGAGGAATGCGGACATACGACGCACGAGCCGGAGGTGCATTATCTTCACCTGAAGGAACAGCATCCTTACAGTCCGGCATTACTGAAGTTCTACGACAAACGGCATTTTAAATTCACCAATAGTAACTTCGCCAATATGTTGCTCCAGGTGGGCACAGACTCAGCGTAGATACTATATTAAATGTTGAGACTCGTGTTAGGTAGAAGATAGCGCGTTGATTAATCAACGGGCTGATATAGGGAGGCTCCGATACTCGAACAAACTAAACAAAACACAGTACGGTATACAAGAGCACGAAATTGTTCTTGTTGATGTAACTCTTCAGGGTGGCCTGTTACAACGGGAATCGCGGAATACGGACAGCTGCGGCCTCGCGAAACAACGAGAGATGGCCTCGAAGAGCAGCGACGCGGCGCATCAACAGACCACGACCAGCTTCTAAATCTGTCGAGAGCGAGAGTCCGAGTGAGAAAAAGGGAAATAGAAAGAGAGAAAGAAGAAGAGATTGATGACGCGTGCGTTCTTCAATCGGGAGTGACGTTTCGCGCGTAAAGTACCTGCAAGTGGCTCCCATCGCGGTGACACTGGAATAAACATCCAAGTTCGACGACAGGATCCAATTGGGGGATCGTGTGGGATCTGACAGAACAATTGGTTCCTGCCGCCTTAAATTCACGAGTAGAGGATGCGGAAGATGAGAAGAGAAAGAGGCGAAAGAAGAATAAGAGTAAGGAAAGATCTTCGCGCGTAGCTACGATGATCGCAATATTTCTCTTATAGGTTCTTGTCGATAAGTGGGGACGAAATATGATTAAGTTTGCGCGTTATTGTTTTCTTCTTTTGATTCAGATAAAGAAAGACACTATCGTTTTATGAAGAAAAAAGATAGATGTTTGAAGAGAAGTTCGTAGCGTTAGTTTGCAGCATTTGAAATGCTGCTTTATTAATGAAACTTTATTAATAATACGCTTCACAGTTTTGATGGCAGCGCGTCGTCCAACGATCGTTCTGTCAGATGAAGAAATTTTAACTTACGCGTTGCGACGCTATAAAATCTCGCTTCTACCCATTCTATTCGGAGACAGTGTCTCAAATTTCTTTCTTAAGTATTCTTAGGGCGTTTCTTCTTGTAGTTGCATTTTTAGCTAAGTAACAGATTTAATTTAAAGAAATCTTAGAACTGATATAATGGTTTTACAGGAGGATGCATGGGACACAGACGCACATATGCGTATGCAGACACACACATATACATACTCTATTACACACAATCTCAAATGTAGATCTTAGGTGATAAATATTAATATCGTGGACCAGAGGCGCGCGCGACATCGAGCAGACCCAAAGACTCGGATAGAACGTTTCAGGAATGCCGATCGTCCTCGGCGAGTGTGCCGAGGCGGGAAAGAGTGCGATCACACGGAAGACTTTTTTTTTCTCAGAGATGTACGGCGAGTTACGTTGCTTTTCGATTCGATGGGCGAAATGGGGTTCTTGACGTCGCGATCGCCAGGGGGTTCCTTCGATCGCGGCCTTCGTCCTGAAGCCACCATTGTCCTCGATCGATCAGGGCACCGGAATCGAAGGGATTCCGCGTCGCTCGAACGGGGCGAGATCACGTCGACGAAGTGACTCTGCGCCGTACCATCGTAGAAATAGAGCTCAGCGCTACCGACGTCATAGTAGAATAATCGTTGAGGGATAATTGAAACAAACGCTCTTCCGTGCCGTTAATTTAATCGATTTTATTTAATTTTATTATTGAGATTCAATAATAAAATTTCAATTTATTATTGATTTTAAAATTAATTTTCGATCTCGAGCGAGATGTTCCAAGTTGATATTTATTACAACAAATTGATACGCTAGTATTATTTTAGATAAAACTTCTTAGTTTTTATTATCCTCACTTTTTATTATTTTTCTAAACGGCGGTAGTATCTATATATATATATATATACACACACACACATATATATACATACATACATATATAGAGTACTCGTGTAAGTTCCCAACCGAAGTGCACTTTGGGTAATCTGTGATATGATAAAAGTAACAAGAGAATCCACTCGCTCCTCCACGCACTGGATTTCGCTTTTCCGCTCTCTTACGCTTGTGGTTTTCTTCTTCTTCTTCTTATTTTTTCAGGGTCAGGTAGAAGGGTAGGTAAGGGTAGAAGGAGAGCACGCATCGTATACACATCTCACACATGTTATATCCACACACACACACACACACACACACACACACAAAACGGGATTTCGTGCAATTCTAAGGTGGCAGTACTTGATTCGGGCAAACGATGTATTCCGCTCGATTCCTTTCGCTGCGGATTTGCCCATCGCGAGGATATAACACGGCTCGCGAGTTTTAAAACTTCGGGTGCTCAAAGACGGCGAGCGGCGCGAGCTAATCTCGCGGGACCAGAAGATTAACCCTTTGAAATGCGATTTGGTGGTCGCGACGCACAACTCTTTTATCCTTTTTTTTACGTAACATTTTTTATCCGCCTGCCGGCTTCCATCTCTGCGTCACGTTCGTTGGCATGACAATTGAGAAATTGTATCTTTAAACGATAAGGCTATCTACGTCTCCATTACTTCAGAGTTTACTCTTGTATTTATTTGTACTATAGGTCACATATTTTATTATAGAGTAACTGATGTATATATGTATATAGGCTTTTGTTTACTCTGGCATGTGGTTCGAAATGCGCTTGTCAAAGGGTTAAAAAGGGCCGCGTCGGCGAACACTAAAGCACAGTCCTTCAATTTGCGGGCGAAACGCGAGAAGGTAGAAAGCGCTTTATAAATGCCCCGTGTGTCACTTATTTTTAGAACTGAATTTTTAGGAAATTAACAAAAATAATATATATTATTTGTGGCTACGTAGTCTGCAAATGTCTATTTTCTAAGGAATCTGATGCAAGTTACACAAGTGATAAACAAAGAAAATTTCTTCTCTTTTTTTTTTTATTAATAGTTTAGTTTGAAACTGAAGGCGCACGAGACACCTTCTCTTCTGGCAATGCAGTTTTTGGTAACTCCCTCATAGTAATTTCACACGAAGTCAATGTTTCTGATGAATAATAATATTTTTACTTTACCGTGTTTCTTAGGCTATCGATAGCCTTAAGTAGAAACTATTGAAAAATGTGCTCACTGTACATGATAAAAAATTGCAATTATTAGGCTACCAAGATTCCGACTGAAAAGAGCACCTTTTCTATAATCACTTAATTAAGTAACGTTAAAATTTTATTGTATATTTATGAGTGCAGGGAAATTTATTTATGTTTGTAAGATAAAATTAGATCCGTCATCCTTGGCTCGTACGAAACCGCGCCCGCCCGACGCGCTGAGGAGGTTTGGTAATCTCAATCGAATGATGTAAATAGGACTCTAGGCAAAGATTATTGATATATTTAATTCTCACATTATATTCATGTATTCGTTCTCAAGCCCGCGGTTGCCTCGGCGCGGATGTTGGTGTCCCGCCGTGAGACGCTCATCCCTGTTGTAAATAGTCTTCATTCCGGCGGCGGAAACGGGTACCGGTTAGTCCGCGATTATTAGTATCTTGCTTACGACAGTAAAGTACGTGACAACGTACTTGTACAGCGAACGCGCGAGGATTGGAAAGAGATAAGGATCAGCACGGGTTTCCTGTACTTACATCTTGGAGCAAAGTACTCGAAGATAATAGTACTTGTCACGCACTGTCGATCACAAGTTAAATACGTTGCGTATTATCAGTTTTATTATTATTATTATTAACATTATATTTTTAAACGATAACGCTATCTACGTTTTCATTACTATTTAATTTACGCTCAGTATTGTCGCAAGTAATAGCACTTAGCTATACAGTAAATTCATCTATTTGACCATCAACATAATTATTATCACCCTTTACTCCGTTGTTACTTCGATATTTGCAAATGCTAATTTTCTGCGGCGTTCAATTTTTCATCCCTAGTTAATAATCTGTCATTATTATTATAATATTTTTATTATATCATTATTATATTATCATTACATGCGCTAAATAATAAATTTAATTATTGATTTTAAAATTAATATTATAGATAGTTCTACATATATGCAGGATATACCTACAACCCGATGCAGAGTGCTTCTTAATTATATACGAATACTTCAATCTAGAGTCGAAGGTAAGAGAGAAATAATAATATATGAGCATAGATGATTTAGGCTGTATCTTCAGAGTTGTATTAAACTAGAGAAAATAAGATTATTGTTACATATTCCAAAGTGTCATTCGAAATAACGTATTACGATTGTAATTTATATCAATGTTTTAATTACATTATTTTATTTCGAATTGCATTTTGAAATATATCTATATTTGCTGATTGAAGCATTGACATATAATTAAGAATCGGTCTGTAATATTTATCAGATTGTCCGGTTCCAGAAGCGATCTTATTGCAGAACACACGAAAGACGAAGATTATGAGTGGGAAACAGTTGGCATAGTGTAGTAATTTGCACGATCTGTTAGGATAAAAGCATTTCATCTAACAGTTGATATTTTTATAATTATGCTAATTTGCAGATGAATACACATATTTTCTTAAATCTGTCGAAAATCTTAAATCAGAATATAAACGAAATAATCTTAAGCTATAGAATGCAAAGAACATCTCTATGCAGCAGAATAAAATACTTTTTCCTCCTGGATTGAGCAAACTTTACACTGTACGGCAAGCTATTAATGTGCGATTGCAAACGCGAGTGTGTAATGGTATGCGTGGATATTATTGTTCGTATGAGAGTGTGCGTGCGGATCTGTACGGCGTGTACCACAGCCTTTAGCTATACTTTCGGCATTTTATAGACAAATACTGGAGCTTTTCGAGGAGACTGTAGAAAGTGTAGCTAAAATGGACGGATTTGACGTTCAATGTGCTGTGTCGTGTCGTTGGCTATTTTGTAAATTCTATTAGAGCGCGACTGCGTTATCCGGACATTGGTGTCTACTTATTAGAGATCGTTATTAATTGTAGCTAACGGTAAAACGTGGTTACGCGCTCTTATATGTTTGCAAGAGACAATAAAAATTAATATTATGTATGCACTCCACGCACACACACACATAAATACCTGTTCGATATTTGCGCGTTTCAACAATCATACCTCGCGTTTAATATGTAAATATCTTAACATTACATGCCGAACGGGTTTCCTAAAATTTTCTTCTTTCACTGTTCCGCGGCTTTATTATAAACAACAAATTTTACGTTTCTTAAAAGTGAAGTTCTTTTTAGGTAAAATTTGGAATTAAAGACTCCACGATTATCTGTCGACAATGTAACTGCAACTGTATTGGTCTAAGCGACAGTTGTCCGAGTCCAGGACTTTCAACGATTTTCAGATTGACTCTGGAAAGTACAGATGTCGGGAGAAGAAAATTTACACACAAGAATCTTTTTATATCATACTCTTTATTGGTAGATTTCCTTTGTTGTGTATTTAAAATGTCACAAAATATCTTTTGCTGCTGCTTTTGGGCTCGCGAAGATGCCCTATAAGTATTAATACCAGGGGCGAACAAAGTGTCCATGACAATTGCAATGTCACATCCATCTATCGCAGCGCTGCAATATCAAAATGATAAGAGAGTGCTACGGCTACGGTTAAACTACTACTCCAGGATGCGTTTTATCTGCAACAGAGAATGATGCCGAGATGATGACTCCCCGATAAAAGCGGCGAGAAGCGCGGCAGTATAGGTGCGCACGAAATTTCGAGGCCGGTCATTTTGACCTGGCCTGCGTGCAGCTCCGGGGGGAGTGGGTTTTTTCGGTGGGTGGTATCGCCGAATATTTTGATGATTTCATCGGCCGAAATTCGTTGTGCTCGACGTGCTTCGTTAAAGCGCGCACTTTGTTTTGTTTACTCACTGCTGATCACGGAGCTGAACGGCATATATCTGGGCTTGGCAGGCACTTTCGGAGCACCCTTGTGCGATCTGGACGAATGCTTCTCTTCGTTGCTAAGTCGTTTCACCTGAAAAAGAGTTTTGAGCATTAAATTATAGAAAATTATCTCCCAAGAGTAGCAAGGGGTGTCGTTACACGTTAACGTTGTACTTTCTACGCTACTTGCCGTGTCATGTGCATATTAACTACTCGCTGGCTAACACTTATGTTAAAACATTTGGAAATCTTTTAACGTACTGTATAATAATTTATCTGGTTGGATCTTGTCGATGATACGAATTAGTTTTCTCGTCGAACCCGCCGATAGGAAAATTCAAGCTCTACGGGCCATTCGGCGTACGATACGCCAAGTTCCACGATGCATGCAAGACTTCTTTCCACAACGCGTCGCATTTTCGCACGAGGATCCTAACCGCGGCGTTACTTCGATCATTCGGCGTTTCCTCTCGCATTTCAACGCTTTGGAACTCGAGGCAAGGTGAGCATGGACTTTTTCCCGCATATTTCTCACCTGTTCATCGATCGCCGCAAACTGCCACTTCCAAGAGTGATTATAGAGGAAGGGACGGTGATCGAATCGATTGTCGTCGGGGCTGTACGTCTCCGCGTGGCAGGACGGAGTCAATATCGTCATTTTGTGACGATTAATAGCGTAACATCTGTAGAAGTGTTTCACCTTATCGGCAACCTGAAATGAGAAGGTTTTTTAATTTATTCAAAAAGAAATCAAACGATTGGATTAGAATTTTGCTCGAGGAGCGCGCACTCACTTCTTTCGGAGTACAATGGTTCCACATGTGCACGAGTCTACAGAACATTGAGAAAGGCCCGGCCTTATCCTGCTTCCTTAACCGTCCGAAAACTGACAATTCCTTGTAGGTCATACCCATGTCGACTTCGTCTAATTGCGCAAGCTGTCCCGCCTGCAGCGGTTCTAATTCCGCGGTAGGCGGCGCCTCCAGGATATTGTCCAAAGCGGATATTCCGTGTTTACGTCTGAAGTTCAAACGTGGAATATAATTTGACATCGTAATATACAGAGCGATTCTTAGTTATATGAAAATAAAATTATTAAATATTATTTTCAACTGAATTCGAATATTGGCAAGAATCGCTACATTTGTGTAGCAACATTCGTATACAGACGCACCTAAAGTACAGGAGAAACTTTTTCAAATCATTCTTTGCTATGCCACCGATAGGATTGATGTCGGCGCTGCTGCAATCGTATTTAGTGAGGTAACCGCGTAAGGCTTCGTCCACGTTACCGCTCCCTAATACTAAGAGGCCACCCGGACGGCCTCTGACCCACAACATTAATTGAGCGAATAAGTAAGCAATCACCATTCGTAACCGAGCCTGAAAGTAAGGTAGTACACATAAAAACGTATAATTGGAAGATGAAAATGTTAGATCCATCAGGACCAAGGATCAATTACCTGTACATTTTGCAAGGCCAGATTCTCTCTAGGCGATCCACCCTGCACTCTGAATCTCGGTGTCAGTTTAGTAACCTGTTGGAAGATCCCTAAAATCGCGGATATTGCAGTATCTATGACTATCCCATGATGATAGGACCCTATTTGACTGGCCAACTCGGCCGCTCGAGCTTTGGTCTCCGCCGACGAGTTCTCCGTTCCCATGTAACACGTGACCAAGATGGTGTTGCACAACTGCTTCGGATCTATCGGTATGTATTCGCAATCGCCGACGATCTTCCTGATATCCGCTAAGACCTGTGTGTCTGAGTGCGAAATACAATTTCCGACATTTGTAAGTGAGCCCCTTTAAGTTTGTGATGACGTAGCCAAGTCTTACCTCCTCTACCGACCGATTCGACGATCATTTCGCACATCGAATATACGATACACGCTGAAGACGACGAGTCGACGCCACCGCTCAGTGGTAAGAAAAATCCACCTTGGCAAGATCGTCTAAAATGTAGACACGCAAGATTGTCAATACAACAGGTACAATATATACACTATTTTTTAACGAGTTATATATTTAAGCAGCTTATAATAATAATAAATATCTTGGCCCCGTTTGCACACCTCAGATAGTCCCACAGCCAGCACGCGGGTGCCATCGCAATCTCTTCTTCCGCGGTGTGATACACGAGACTCGAGTGCCCCTCGTTGTCGCCGTACACATCCTGGACTCCGTCGAGCGGTCGGTCCGGCGGATTCGAGATGAGACTCTCTGGCGTGAGTGCAAAATCGATTTTCACGCGTGGATAACTGGGCGATGCGGCGGCCGCGTGCGATCGCGATCTGATGCTGTTCCGATAATTCCTGGAGAGTAAAATTTCTTATTTTGCGTTATTTCTTAGATAAAGACGTGCGGTATCCGAGTTCTCTGATTATCTCGAAACAAATTGCGTTAATACCCGGATGTTGACGCGACTTGATAGAGTAGTAGATTACGCCACTACCTCGCGTGCTCAGAATCAACATCAAACCCTTTACCTTATATCCTCGAGATCGAACGTGGCGATGGTCACTTCGACATCCTCGAGAGCGAATTGACGTCCGCGATTTAATATATTGCCGTTGAGCGTGATGCTGGAGCCACCGTTGAAATACAGTCTGCCGCCGTCGCATCCGCGCAAATTACTATACATATAGCAACCGCCAGCTTTGAACGTAGCCGACTTAACAAGATCGATGTTGACGTAGGCTTTACGTAGCTCGAAGTACGAACCGCTTCCTTCCGCAGAAAAGCGACGAAGAAAAAAATAGAGAAACAATTTTTAAGTGAGCGTTTGATCTCATACAACTGCTATTATAATCTCTTTTAATTGCTATCTAATTTTTCATTTAAAAAGTAAAAACAGAGTAGAAAATAGATGGAAAAAGACGAAGATGAAATCTACGTCAACTGCTGTAATGTCAGAAACCTCTCATAATAGTAATATTACCGTTCGCGATAATTTCCACGCCATCCATTGACATCGGAATATGATTGCTGGCTGGGTGCCAAAGTTCCTCGCATATTTCGAAACCCACGCACGTGTCCCTCGTCGCGATAACAGCATCACCGAACGGCACGCCGTCAGTCTGACCAGTGATTTCCGATATCATTCGTGGCAGGAAATAATTCTCGACCGTACGTTCCTAATACAAGACATCGCGCGGATTATCGTCCAGTTCTATGCACTTTACTCAATCACACCCTGACATTTTTTTTTACTTTTGTCCAAGGAGAGAACCATCTGGTTTCCCTGTAGTTGCCGTTCTCGCAGAGTCGCATTTTCGGCCTGATCAGCAAAATCCGCCGATTCAGAAAGGCTACCCTGCAGTTGTACGTCACGTTCTTGTGCATCACCGGCATACCCACGTCTATCAGTATGTCCTCGCAAATACTGGATTTCAGAATGGTCGCTACAACTTCCCAACTATGCAGCAACGTGTCCGACTCGTAGAGGTGGTCCTCGCAGCTGTAACCGCTGTTGGACAGACAGTATGCAATTACGACGAAAATAACTCAATCAAATAATAAAGATAACAAAGGCAGAATTATAATCTCACCATTGTAATAATAGAGAGTTCGCGATCTCATAAAAACAATTTCCTCAAACAAACAATCGGCTAATAATACTTTTTTAACACTTTTACAGACAAGCAAGATCAGTTTCGATATAATTACCAGATTTCAAGCTCGGGACCGCTCCTGTAAGTGGCACCGGCGTCCTTCGCCTCTTGTATACTCTGCAAAATTCTTCTGGTATTCCCGTCGAAGTCCATCGCCCATTGGTTCAACGTACAAACGGCGACGGTCACCGTACGTCCCATGTTGAATTATCTTCCTGAACGGTTATTCCTGAACGAGTCTTGCAAATGCTCTTATCTGAAATGAAGAAACGTTCATTACTTTCGAGACAATTATACAAGTGTTGTACAATTTCCATTGTACCAAAATTGCTTTTCAGTTAAGGGCCAGTTTCACAAACGTTGGTTAACTGTTAACGAGAGTTGAGTCAACTCCCTATCTTTTTCTATCTTGTTCTCTAAGAAGAGCCGGAGAATCGATTAACCTTCGGTTAGCAGTTAACCGATGTTTGTGAAACTGGCTCTAAGAGTTCTGATTCTTCAATATCAAGAAATAGTAACGATATGATATAGATACGACCACCGATAGTGGTTAAAAAGATCTTGAAGTATTACCCACGCGAGAGAAAGAATGTATGTCGGTGGAACGAAAGGTGCAAAGAACTGAAGCGCGGGAAAGTCTGACAGTTCAATTTGAGAATCGTATCGATACCCCGACGCTCGTTTCGTATGCAATTTATGGCACCATCATTATCGTGACTGTTAAAAGTCGGCGGTCGCGTGTGCGTCCGATGGAACTTGTGGCGGCAGCTTGCCAGCTAATTCTATCAATTGGAATCCCATCGATCGGGCCCCGAGATATAAACTGAAAGCGTTCCGTTCTCCTCAGTCCGACGCGCGTTGATTGATCAATAATCCGGAAAACCCGGCACGGCCAGGTAGGCACCGTCTTACGTAGCAACCCTTACAGATCGTTATCTACCAGGATTTCTTCGCGTATCTATCATTGGGAAATTACTTCCAGGCTTATTAAAATTTAATAACGATATAGGAAGTTCCAATGTTAAAAAGATAAAAGGGTAAGAGGGACAAAAGAAGAAATATAAGAGAGATTTGAAAGAAGTTGTAAGAAAAGATATTTACGATTAAATCGCGCTTTACTGTGTATCGCTAAATAACATTTCAACAATAGAATAACAAAATGGCCAAGTATACCCAGGTAGTAATGCGTGTCTAAAAGACATCTTTAAGACGTCATTAAGTGTTCTTTTAGACATGTACGTCTAAAAGATGTCTTAAAGATATATCTTTATGACATCTTTTATACATGTGTGCTGTCTGGCTAATATACCATTCATTGGTCTTTCGTTGGGTAAAATTTTTATCTAGAAATCATCTACTTCGTGCAACAAGCCGAACATTAAAACAAGACATCAATAACACGTCGACGGGCAATTAACAGCGTACTTTTTACTTCATTTTGTTATTAGCTATTTATCTTGCAGTCCGTCAAAACTTTATATTTAACTTTTTACATTTAAACGTTTTAAAAAAAATTCGATAGCGCCGGTTATCAGTGACCACCATAGTGTCGCTGACAAATAATCACTACGATAGTATATTAAAATCAGCATAGCCCCACCCCAAAGAAATCACCCACCAAAAAGAAACTCAGATCAACAATGCGCTGCGCTTCTCTCCCCTTCCTCTCAGATTAATTCGCTCTTGTTCGTTTCCTCCGTTCCAGTCTATGATGGTCTCGCTTTAAATGGAACTCTCGCCGCCGGTTTCCGATCGACGAGCTCTCCACGAGCGTCGCTTACCTCGGAAACGTCGATAGAATGAGTCGAGTTACCGACGAGATATTATGTCGATGAGCCGCGCCGGCGGCCTTCTGAAACGAGGAGCGGTTAACGAACGATCGTTCCGAGGGTAGCTCCGCCCACGACTCGCGACGGTTGTCAGGCAATCATCCAGGGAACGTTTCACTGGATGTCTTCAGCAACGGGCCAGGTTCCTCTCCGCGTTCGCCAGTTGGAATCTATCCCCAAGTCCCGCGGAGCTTCTAGTATAACTTGCCCTCTCGTCGGCACCTCGGTGAACCGCTCAACTATTCGCCGTCGACGCCCCCGACTTATTCAATTACTTGTATTATTTGTACGATTCTTTGATTGATCGGTGAGAGTTGACGTATTGGGGAAAAACTTAAAAAAAGAAATACTGTGATGTTTCGTCCTCAAAGCTCTAAGCCAGATTTTGTTCCAGATCTGTTCTCTGATCAATTTCAATGGTGTACAATCATTGCCGTTTGAAATCGTAATTTATTATATTAAAGACACTTTGATGACAGCTAAGCGAGGGGGAAACCGCTGAGGGCATTGTGGTGTACAGATTTGCGGCATTACTGGGCATTACTTTTGGGCATTAGGTCTTGCTAGGGTATTATAAAGATAAAGTAATGCCCACTGGGCATTAGTGGGCATTGGTGTATATGAGCAGATATATTTTCCTTTGAAAAATGGGCAATTTCTTTTCACATTCACGGAAAAAAATAATGTGTCAGTAAGATCAGTGTAATTGAAATAAAATCGTTGAACAACATCAGTATTAACGAATGAAAAACGTGGGATAGCTAGTTGTCTTAATAATCTGAATATTTAATTCAATGCTTGAAATTATAATCTATAGCAAATATAATTGAGTGAATTATTTATGTTTGTGGCAGCCCGTGACGTCAACGTTTAATTCGAACAACTTCATTTTTGTTTAATTCAACAGCATTGTTTTCCGTGTTGACAAAAGCATTTAATAAGTAAAGCGTCGCGTAAATTTGCGTCGCGATAAGGCAAATAGTATCCCAAACTATTTTAATTAACTACGATTGTGGAAGAAAAGGATCTAAAGCTGAGGATTTCAAATCGTCCGACGCATTCTATCGCGAAAAGTGATTTGGACCCTCGACATGTGGCTCGCGAGGACGTGAACGCGGAGATGAAGAATCCGATTGTCAAATACCTCCTCGGGGAGGAAGTGCCGACGAGGGAGGACTACACGGATTGGCACGAGAATGCTAAGGGCGGAAGGTCGTCGCCGATGCTCGCCGTCGACGCAGACGATCGCGACGAGCAGGACGAGGACGAGACCGACGAGAGATAACGAAAGATGATGAAGCCGGCATCGAGCAGCAGAGTGAGAGAGCTCCAGGCTATGCTGTTTCCGGTTCAACCTATCCCAGGTGAACTCTAACAGTACGAGGATAATTGGCGGACGATACTGAACGACAAAATCAGCATCGTTGCTTGTTGATTCTCCCGACGCAAATTGATTCTCTACAATAAATAAATTTTTATAAATAAAAGCAACCAATATACGAAAAGTATAACCAGGATAAGTGATATAAAATTTTGATATTTTCGGACGTGTTCAATAATAATTTTTGTGAATTTTAAATTGATTCTGAAGTGGAAAAGAGGACATAATACGTTCGTAACAATATATGATCGAAGTGTCGGCGAGGTCGCGAACCTACGGACATTGTACTCGACCATCGATCTACTACCGTGAGCAACATACGATCGCGTTTAGTTCTGTCGTTAATGCCCATTTGCCAAGCTCATCATTATGCGCGCATTATCCCACAGATAGTTTGCAAATTGTCCACAAAATATGCTCGTTTACAAAAAAAAATCGTTTGTATTTCCCATCAACGTTTTATGCACATAATCAAGACAATCAAGAAGCCACTCGGATTATTTCGTGCGACGAAAAACTTTCGAACTTTTTGCAAACATCGTTCGATTAATTTAGCGAGCGAAATACACAGATTTACTTGAAATTTAATCTTTTTATTTAAATAGAATGAATATTTACTTCGGTAAAAAAATAATTTGAAGTAAATCTATTTACTTAGTTTAAAAAACTTTTTTGTCAGTGATAGAGATGAATTGATGGCGAAAGACAAATTATAAAAAACGCAAGAGTTTTATTTCGACAATAACGACGAGAATGGGTTTCTTCTTTGTAACAACGCAGGTGGCATGCTCTCTGATCTAACACCGCAGGAGTTGCAAGTGTCTCAACTGGAACGTTATAACGAGAGCTCGGCTCTGAGACGAGACGCGGAATCGGCGTTGTTCGCGATACCTTTGGGTTGTTTCTCTAGGCATCGGTACTCGAAGGAGGCCCTCCGCGCGGTACTCGATGCGCGCTGCATCGTCGACGGAAGCATCCAGGAAGCGGCCAGGTGGCCGACCGAGTGCCAGGTGAAAATTAACGCACCTGCATGTTTTTAGCTTCACTTGTTCCGTCCACTTTATCTCCCGATCATGAGCAGCCTTTCTTTGAAGATAAAACGCCGCATGTCGCTGTAGAATTCACCGTATATAATGTCAATTGCTCTCATACAAATTACGTTGTTGATATAAAATGCTTTTGAGTTTCTTGCGGAGATATATGAAATTATTAATTTATTCTACACCGCTACTGCGCTAACTGATACTGTGTAATTATACAATTCACTGAGATAACGGTCTCTCAGGTGATCCCAGAGAGAGTTCGTCACATAGAGTACAACCCTGCCACGCCGGAAGCCTTCTACGTTTCAACCGGGAAAGAACCGAGACCCAAACCGATCGGCGACGAGCTTGGAACGGTGATATTTCGTTACTGTCCGACTAACGTTACTAATTACGTAAGTCGCAATATAATCGAATTCTTACATATGTATATAGCGCGTATGATCAAATCGAGTTTATTACAACGTGAAACCAATTGGAAAAGATCTTCTACTTGAAATTCTGGACTTTAAAGAACGGAGGTTTGTTATCTCGGCAGTTCAGTCGATCTTGCGTGGGCGGTAGCACGGCGTTCCCCGACGATTTTCCCGGGGAATCGACCGCGTGCGCCAACGGGAACGATATCTTCTTCGTCGCCGAAGCGTCCCGACAGATGGACAACAGCACGGACCTGCGGTTTGAGTCGCGGTTCGAGTCCGGGAACCTCAGCAAAGTGGTAAAAATAACTGACACGTATTACCAGCTCTACCTGAGAAGGGATCTCTACACGCAGAGGCATACCCAGTGGTACTACTTCAGGGTGTCGAATACGAGAAGCAGGATCACATACAGGTAGGAGCACACGATCGGCCAACGGAAACTGACCAATTGTATTTTTCAGATGATCAGAAAACTTAAAATATCACTTTAATTGTAAAATTAAGTAATTTTAAAATTAATTTTAATTTAAAAAATGTACAAGCGAGACTCTGTGATGGAAAAAGTTCATATTTTCGTTAGCTCTTTTGTATGCTTCAGACTGTTTAATCAGATTTTGTTTATTTCCTTAATTGTGAAAATGGAAAACAAACCGAATGAGTCATTCTCCGAGAAATATATTGTTACGCTTACAGATTTTCCATCGTGAATATGTGCAAAGAGGAGAGCCTTTACAACGAAGGCCTCAAGCCTCTTCTTTATTCCACCGAAGACGCTCGGACCCGATCCGTAGGGTGGAGAAGATGCGGTGACAACATCACGTATTATCGAAACAACGATTCATCGTAAGAAAATTCTTTGTTCCAACGATAATTCTGCGAAGAAGGTAAAACAAATCGCGTGAAATGATTGCAGAAGCGACGAGGAGAGAGAAAAGCACACGCTGACGTTCAATATTTCGTTCCCTCACGATCGTGACATCGTTTACTTGGCGCACTGTTACCCATACACCTACACCGATCTTCAGGTAAAACGATCACGGTATTAAAAAATCGCACGCGCACAATCTTACAAAAAAATAGTTGATTAGCAATAAGTAACTGGAAGTAACGCTGGTATTTCGCTTAATTTCCCGTTTTCCTGTCGCTCAAGAAAGCATGAAAAACATGAATAAGTTAGTATTGCTTTCAGTAATTATTCCGCGGAATGTTCCCACAACCGCTCGTAGAACAAAGTGGTGTTTGTTTCACGTTCTGCTCGCTCCTATCGCGATTACCATCGCAAACGATTCTCAGTCTCGGCGTTTGTATTTATCGCGCATTCCGTCGGTAGATTAAATCTCGATCTACCTCCCCGGTCTCTAATTGCTCGCATAAACATGCCCCAGGAATATCTCGGCAAGATCGTGGCCGACCCCACGAAAACGAGATTCGCCAAGCTACGCTTGCTGTGCCGCAGCCTGGCCGGAAACGGCGTGTATTACCTGACGATCACCGCGCCGACCCACGACGAGGAGGTGCGCAGGAAGCGGGGCGTCGTTATCACAGCCCGGGTGCATCCCGGTGAGACGCCGTCGAGCTGGACGATGAAGGGCATAATAGACTTCCTCACCGGCGACACGAACCGGGCTAGAGTAAGGGCTTTCGCAACTCTAGACGAGTAGAGATCCAAGACAGAGATGTCAGTTGCGAATTAACGAGGCTCGCTTGATGTCGAGAAGATTGACGCCCGCGAAGACTTAACGATTGATCTAACGTCGCACAAACTTGTTGCAGGAACTCAGAGAGAGATTCGTCTTCAAATTGGTGCCGATGCTAAATCCGGACGGCGTCATAGTGGGCAATAATCGCTGCTCCCTGTCCGGGAAGGATCTGAATCGGCAGTACAGGACCGTGATGCGGGAGAGCTATCCGTCCGTCTGGCACACGAAGCTAATGATACGGAGGCTCCTCGAGGATTGCGGAGTGGCGATATACTGCGATCTCCACGCTCACTCGAGAAAGCACAATATATTCGCCTACGGTTGCGAGAGCAAGAGGACCGGATGCAACGGGAGGCTGTCGGAGCAAGTGTTTCCGCTGATGCTTCACAAAAACGCAGCCGATAAGGTATAACGTAAATGCACGTGTCTGAAATACCATCGGACTATTTAATCGCTCGTTTGAATTCTTCGACCAAATTAAAGTGAAGTCGATAGTTGTCGGAGACTCGGAACATTTTTGGTGTTACAGTAACTTTCTTCTTTGCTATTGCGGCGTGAAAACCCGACTTACATTCCGTTCTCTGATTCTAGTTCTCCTTCGAGAATTGTAAATTTCACATCGAGAAAGGAAAAGAAGGCACGGGCAGAGTGGTTGTATGGTCGATGGGCGTACAGAACAGTTACACCATGGAGGCTTCTATGGGCGGCTCCAAAATCGGCTCTAGATGCGGAACGCATTTTTCCATTCAGGACTACGAGCAGATTGGCAAAGCATTTTGCGAGACCCTGCTCGATTTTTACGATCAAGATCCCGTAAAGGTAACACTGTCGCATTAGCATTTCGACCATATTTCCTCGGAAAAATAAAGGATGGTGTTCGAGTTTATTTCTCGCTTAATTCATTTTATATTATAAATTAGAACTATTAATTTTGATCAAAGTTCGATAACTTCGAAGGAACGAAGGATCGAATCTTCGAAGATTTCTTCGTCCCTTCGAAGTCTTTCGAAGCTTCGAAAAAGTAACAGTCTTATTATAAATCACAAGAGCAAAGAGAATCAAGTGCAAAATCATAAAGTCGTCTATTGTCGAGTAATTCCTTAAAGTGTATGCGTCGCATACACACGACGCGACGTAGCAATCAAATCGAAATCTGTTCATTACAAATCTATTTGATTTTTACGTATACTTTCTCAAATGGATTTATATTATGGTAAGTAAATTAATTAAATAAATTCTCATTCTGCTGCGAATTTAGAGACACTTGGAAATTGTGCCATCTAAAAATTCTATTGTATCAGGATGAATTGCGATGGGTGATGCAAATGTGGCCCGACAGGAAAGACTCCGAAATAAGATCGTAGCCAGATTAACGAAGGAGGGATCCAGTGCTGAGGAGCCTACCAATATCAATTTGACTGACTATTCAAGGTATATTCTTTCTAATAGTTGGTAAAGCATCCGGCCTAATTTCCAACTAGTTTATACGAGATATCGGATTTGTCTAGCAACGAGGGAGACATCTCGCAGGAGAGTTTCTCGTCGGAAGAGGAAAGGGCCGAGTACACGGATGCTGCGTGGTCCAGCGAGGCCGGAGAGTTCCTGGCGGGTCGCCGCCGGTACCTCTGCGTGCCACCACCGTCGCCGACCTTCGTTCCGCCGAGAAGCGTTGGTCTTTATAGAAGGAGAGCGCGAAGAGATGTCGCGGGGAGAATTTATTTGGAGCGTAGGAGAAATCTGGTATCTATGATTATTCCGAAGTTCAATTCGCAAGATTTTGATGATTACTTTTAGAAAAATAAGATAAAAATGACCTTTAGAAGAATAAACTGATTCCGAATATACTTTTTCTGGAGAAGCGGATTCGATTTTAGATTATAATACGCGCGACTTAGTAAGAATATTACCAGTTATTTCTCGTGGAAATAACTGGTGATATTCTTACTAAGTCACGCGTATTATATTATCAATAGGCCCGACGGGCGGTGATGGAGTTGCCGACCACGGATCCAGGTAGCGATTTGTGCGATCTCACCGATTCGGCTGATGAGAGTTTCGTCAGAAGCGAGGGAAGAGAATACGACGGTACATCCAACAATAAAATCGAAATGAGTATCTATCTCGGCATGTGTCATCGTGTATGTATGTCTTGCAGTTGCATGGAGAAGTACGCAGGAATATCGCGAAGAGGTAATCGAACTATCCGAAAGGGAGACGACCGAGAAAGAGGAGCGGCAAGAGAAGACGTTGATCTTGCCGGAAATTGTGAGGCCTCGCAGCGTGTCTTTCGGGGAGTTACTGCCACGCAAGGATCACCGGAAGACTCGCCAACGGCCGCGGTGTCTTCGGTACGGGTTAATTATTCCTTCACAAAAGGAGATGGGCAGAATTTCTCGAATGGAAGCCCAGCTGAAAAGCCTGAGGATGTAAAGTGGATGGGCAAAAATTACTTGATTATTTAAACATAGGTGCTTCTTTTGCCAATACGACCCGAATCGAATTGACGCACTGCACTGCTCAGCTATCCCTCCAACGAACAAGGCAACCATCCGAGGAGTAAACCGCTGACCAAAAACTTATTATCTTATTTTATCTTTATAATGTCCCAGCAAGGCTCAATGCCCCCAAAAAATGCGTAGTAATGCCGCAAATCTGTACACCACAATCCCCTCAGCGGTTTACCCCTCGCATCCATCGTAAAGGATGCGTTTACTTGTAAGATCGCAACAGCCGATTCGTATTTGCCAGGACGCTGAGAAATCCGTCGCCGGTGTCGCCGACGAGCCGAGAGGTGAGAATCAAGTTAACGTCTTTGAGACGGCAGATCTGGACGGGCGTATCGACCACCGCCACCGGAGGCAACGACGCGGAACGTCTCGTCGACGCGTTCGTTAAGACGCCGTTGAGCTGGGGTATCTCCAGACACGCTCTGATGCACTATCCCACGGACGGCGAAGTCACGCTAAAGTGAGTCGATATACTCGACTTATCGCGCAAACAGCGCGCGTCCGTAAAATATGCGCGTTGCATGTTTCGTTGCAGTTAGGTATACGTCAGAATAATTTTTGTTTTCTATTGCCTCGCGTGCATCTCAATTCTCTTCGGAATCCTCGGGAAGGAATACGCGCGGAAAAATTTGCGTACGTGACGCACCGTCTTTTCAGGCCGCAATCCAAGAAAACGCTGTCGCTCGCCTACGACACGGACAAGGACGACACGAGAAAGACACGGAAGAAGTCGCGGCGGAATGGATCCCAATTGAAGACGGCCACGCGAACGGATGGGCAGAAGCCGTCCAGGAGGAAGAACGCGAGGTTCGACTGGCAGCGGGCGGTGGATCTAAATTCTCGGGGCAAGGACGCGAGGATCGCGAGAACCTCCTCCCTGCTAACGATCGAGGCGGACTCGTTGAAGCTGCTGGCCGCGTCGACGACGTCCAAGCAATCGCAACAACCGCAGCGGAAGCTCGATTCGCGCCGGAAGTTCCGCGGCGTCGGGGCGGTGGCGACCACCTGCGTCGGCATCGGGGCGAAGACGAGCGCCGCGAAGCCGACGAGGACGCGTGCGTGCCGTCGTGACGCCTTCTGCGAGAGCACGACGTCGGACGACGCCTCGTCGGACTCGGGCAAGCCGAAGGTCATGAAGAAGAAGCAAAAGAAGAAGAAGCAGTCGCAGCAGCAACCGCCGCCGAGGAAACTGATGGCGAACAGAGGAACGGAGCAAGACAAGCGCGTCTACAGCGTCAAGACTTCGCGCAACAACGTTTGACAACTTTTTATTCTTTCGAGTGAGCCACGGAACGTGCTGTTACTCGTGGCATTTGAGATCTCGGACAATTTGGTGGTAAGCTCTTCTTAAACGGAAACATTGAGAAGTGAAGTTATTTTTTTAAGTTAGAGACTGAAAATTATAAGAGCCTTTTAGAAACGGAAGTTTAGAGATAGTCAAATCTTAATCCACGGCTTGAAATGCAAGCCGAGTGGCAAGACTTCATTCGAACGATTGTATAACTTAAGAACTACAATTGTTACAGCCCGATAACAGACGACGGTATAATCATAACACGAAGTTTCGTTTATTGTCTAGGAATTGCTTCGTAAGTCGTTGACATATAGATAAAGACACGTGAGAAGAGAGTCTTCATCATCAACGTTATCAGTATGCGACAAGATAAAGAATTTATCGCTCCTTCCAAGAAAGGAGAGGCAATATAATTTTCTGAAGCTGGCGAGAAGAAAGAAACAGTAGTCTTTGCAAAGTGGGGAACAAGTTATTAATATGATCTCGAAGCGTTCTATAAACGTGAACAATTATTGCTATAGTTTGATACTAATAGGCAGCATTGTGTTATAAAATGACACAATTATTATATTACTAAGCACTAGTATGGTATTTAAGAATAAGAAACGCAATTGTATGAGTATATAAACGCTGCGTAAATATTCAAATTATAATAATTCTATAGCTCTTCTGCCATGGTAGCGACTTCGACCAAACTCCTACGAAATCGGCCATTGGCGTGAAAATTAGGCATGAAGCATTAAATATGGCAGAAAACAAGAAATTAATATCTATATTTACATTAACAAAATAGTGCACGTATTATCGTTACGTGAGCTCGTCGTCGAGCAAGTTAATCGCAGGGCGGCTTCGACTGAAAATTCCGATTAACTTGATCGGCGATTACGACCAGTAGTCGTCCAGGACCACTATGTATCACTGCCCGTAGTTGAAGAAAAAGATCGTACGAACAATGTTGGAAGAATTATTCGGCGAATTGCAATTTCCGCGAAACCGACTGGACATGCGCCGAGAGTCTCGCACCACGTGCTCGCGGGATTGACAGCGCGACGTCACCATGGCGACGCGCGAGCGCACGGTAAACAATTGACGGTCACCGCGCGACCGATCACGTGGCCCGCGGAGGATGGGCCGGTCGTTGATCATCCGGAGATGGGTATCGCGCGTGTCGCGTGGTGACCCCTTTTCGTCCGGAGACGTCAGACGAGGGTCGAGGTCTCCGCCAGGCGCGACGCATGTCGCTCCGGGCGATCAGTCGCGAAAGCGAGAGCAAGGAGGACCGGACATTGAAAGTTACCTCCGCGATGATCCGGATGTCCGTCAGAGAACCGACTTGACGCAGCGCATGCTCCTTCCTTTACCCTCACGATCACCACTCCACGAATTGAGCGCGAACCCGTGCAAAAAGTCGAAAAGAGAGGAACGACACAGGCGCACCACCGACTCGCACTGTCCTCGCTACGCTTGTCGCTTTGCGTGACTGATGACCGGTAGAGATTGGTAGAGATCAGAGAATCTGAGTTTACCGCATGGTCTCCATGCTGCCATCTTACGGCGACAATTTGCTTTCGTCATGGACGTAGGAAATATCTAGACGGAGCGTAAAGTATCCGACGTAGAGGGAGTTGGCTCTGAAGGGTGAGGGGAATCTATCGTCGCAGCCATCTTGGTGCCGGATATTCAGTGTCTATTGTCACATCGTGAGGTATTGAGCCCTCATTCACATGGAGCGTAACTTGCGTAGCGTAACCTGCGTATCACCAATCACAGGGTCATTCTGATAGAACCGTTTCAATAATTCCGTTGAACTAGTCCTGTGATTGGTGATACGCAAGTTACGCTCCATGTGAATGAGGGCTGAGGCGTTGTAAGACCATTGCAGTAATTTCTATTTTCTGATTCCAGGTTTTTGGGACATTTTTGGAAATGCTTGGGAGTTTCGGGAAATTCTTGGAAATGCTGAAAAATTTTTGGAAATGGTGAGAAATGCTGAAAAATTCTTGGTAATTTCGGAAAGTATAAAATTGAAAAAGCATCATAATTATCGTATAAGCATCTTATAAGAAATAAAATAATATATACAGGGTGTCAGTGAATGTTTGGCACTTATTTTTTGTGTAGATAGACCATACTGATTCCGAGTCGAAAAGTCCTCTACCATTTTGCAATGTTCGCAATAGTTAACAAGTTATTAATTATAATAACATCACTGTTTTAGCTCGGCCTATCGTCCGGTGCAAGCGCGCAGCGAGATATAACCCGCATAGACTTATATTATTGCCGCGTTCGGCGTTGCAAATCCAACGAGTCGGCTAGTGCTTCCGCCTTCTATCTCATTCTTCTTTCTCGCTCGCCCTAATATAAAAGAGCATTCCAACGCCTCGGATTTGCAATGCTGAACGTAGTCTTGCACGTTCTTATGGGTGCGCTGAAGACTAAACTTGAGGATGGAGATATTGCGTAAGCGATGCTTCTCTCTCGCTTTTTGTTTAGAATGGGGTGAAGATAATACATATTAAACAAAGGCGCACTCACTCAGGCTCATAGACATATAAAAGATAGACTGCTTATGAGGCAGTGGAACCCTAGGTGGGGGCATCCTCCTAAGGGAAAAGGACAACATGAATTTATTTGGGTATCTGTCTTCCTCTAGTGGACGTGATCTGAAGGCGATCACGTGTTCACGCCCGCGTGATCACGTACACTAGAAGAAGATAGATACCCAAATAAATTGGTGTTGTCCTTTTCCCTCAGGAGGACATCCCCCACTACCTCATAAGCAGTCTATCTTTTATATGTCTATGCTCAGGCTATTATTGCTCTCTCACTTTAACGTAATCTTCAATTCTTCTCACAGGACGCGCAGTTTATTCGTTTATGTGTGGCCGGTCGACGACTGACGTTGCTATAAATAAACAACTCCCGCGCGTGGCAGAATTTTGCAATTTTATAAAAAGCATTTTCAAATTGCTCACGAATAAAAAATGTTAAATTTCAAATACTAATTTCTTTTTTTATTAGACTTCTGAACTGATTGCTTTAAGTATGAAAATGTTCTGCTATGCGATCCGCAACTTATTCTGGTATTTTTTAGTGCATAAAAGCGCCAATAAAAAGCCCAGATAGCAATGCATTTCTAAAAGACATTTTTAAAGCGCCATTAAGTGTTCTTTTAGATATACAACGTCTAAAAATAATTTTTTAGACATGTTTGCTGTCTGGGAGATTTACAAGCGTAAAACTGTATGTAAACGTGTTGGTAAAAAAGTTATTACAAAACATGCAAAATGGTAAAGGTACTTTTTGATTAGTTTATTCCGCTCCGTCTGCACAAAAAAATAAGCCAAACATTCACTGACATCCTGTATATTATTATATACTATACAGTATAAACAAGTATAAACAAGTTTGCAGAAAAAAATTATAGATATCAATGTTTGTTGCCTCTAAATTTAAGCGTTAAAACGAAATGTTTTTAACGCTAGTGTACACAACTTGTTTGAAAATCCATTGTAGACAACATTAGTAAAATTGTAATTTAATGGACAAGTGATATAACAATATAAAAAATTTGAAGAAATAAATTCTCGCGGCCGATGAATTAATGCAATTATGTATGTTGTAAAAAAATATCATATGCACCTGTTACAAAGTTCGTTGAAACTTTGTTTGACTCTTATACATTATGCATGTACAACTGGCAAAAAAGGAAATGTATCTTTTAATGGGATCATTGGATCATTGTCATGACCTGGACATCCGTCGATTGTCCAAAACCTTACGAAGTAAATTATCTATTGAAATATATACCTACATTAATTTTTGAACATGTTTTCTACATGTTTCGAATCGCTCGCAAGTCAACATTTTAAAAATAGCTGTATCAAAGGTGTATTATGATATGAACAGTAGTGAATTAGCGTGATTGAATTATAAACCATACTTGAATATCGCATTAAATATTATGATTAGATGTCAAGATATGACAATATGATTAAATTCAAAGCATGTATAAAACCCGTTTCGAATGACATAATTTGTGTCATATAACTTGGGATAGAATTTTGTTGATAATTTTACATATCATAGGTACATAATATACAAAATATATACACTAGAATACATATATACATAGAGATATATCGACTGATTGATCTTGTTCGGAATGAACGTTCAGAAAAACTGAAAATTGCGTAAAATCGAGATACCTTGCGAAAAAGAACAGTCGATATATTTCGATATATGCTTATTAAAATGCGCAACGAATAAGACAGAATATGTATTGTAAAATCTGAAAGTAGGAAATCATGAAATATTAATCATAGGCCGGTATTCATAGTCAGATCTTGTATTCAAGACCGTCTTAAGGTCATCTTTAGATACTCCGTAGCCAATGAAATGTTCCATACAGCATCTTTAGATAAATTCAAGACGGTCTTGAATAGAAGATCCGACTATGAATACCGGCCATAGAATCTTAAATAGACGTGACAGTTGAAATAAGGTAAATGTCAGGGCTTTAATTATGTTACATGCAAAAATATTTTTTTAATTTAAAAATATTTTTACAAAATATCTTGTTTTAGTAATAAGATTTGTTAACGATTCTTTTTCCTGATTTATTGTATTTATAGAAGAAGCACGTTCTAGTGCACATGAGTTAGGAATTAGTGCGGCTTTTTTGTAATGCAAGAAGCAAATGTAGGTATACGAGAAGAGATTTTTCGCGAATTAAAATGGATATTGGATTCTTGTTTTTCAGATGGAAAATTTACTCTAATGAAATGTTCATGGTTAAATCATTTAAAGGAAATAAACTTGAAACAAAACCGGTTTGTCATCATCTAATTTGCATTGAGGAAAATCGTCAAATGGCGATTGGGGGATGACGATACATTTTGTCATACAATCAAAGTGGAGGTCATGTAAAAAAATATTTTAATTTTTAACTGAATAATAATAAACGATTATTTCATGCGTTCTGTTTGCATTAAGCAATTCGAGTGATTTGCAATTTGCGCCGAAAATTTTTACACAACAGCGAAGTCTGATTGTTAATTTAATTGATTCTAGGATGATTCAGTGAAAAAAAGCGTAGAGATAAAAACTCATTTTTAGACGTCGACAACGGCGTATTAACATCACAGTATTTGGAGCCGATGGTGGTGGTCGAAAGCAGCGCTTATAAAGAACGACGAATGGGCAAGCAGATCAGTTCGATGTTGCTTCACCGAGAATTTAGATCGTGTATATGTGAATAGCATATAGAGCGCGTATATAGAGAAAGAGGATTAATCTGGTAAGGAGGCAGTCCAAAATTCTTGAAAGGGCCAACTGGAATTAAGGAGACAAAATAAAAATCCTACCTGGTTCTTATTAATCGTGATAATACAGTGAGATAATACCGCGTTCTCGTGGTGCAAAGGGCTTAGGATTTTAGTGTTTTAACATAATAAATTCGTCTAACGATAGGCGCGTTACTTGTCGTAATTGCGGCGTAAGAAATAAAGGGCCGTAATAAATTTTGAAATAAGCCTCGAATGTGCACATTTTTTATCATCGAGTTCTACGAGAAGAGGAAAAATGTTATTATTCAAATCAGTTTATTTCGGCGAGCTCATATTTCTATCCTATTAAGAATTTTGGAGGATGGCTGTACATTTTGTCAGACAATCAAAATCGAGGTCATGTCGAAAAATATTTTAATTTTTAACTGAATAATAAACGATTATTTCATGCATTCTATTTGCATCAAGCAATTTGTGATTTCACACTTTGCGTCGAAAAGTTTTACATGACAACGAAGTCTGATTGTTAATTTAATTGATTCTAGAATGACTCAGTAAAAAAAAGCGTAGGAATAAAAGACTAATTTTTAACCCTCTGTCAGAAGGATGCAAAATTAGTGAGACTTGAACTGCCGATTGAGAAGATAAGAGAATTTATATTTCGACCAAATCTCTCGATTATTACATTTGATAATCAACTATACCAATTCCGTCGCGTCTCTGACTTTCCCTTGCGGCATTTCTATATAAATTCTCTAATTAGACATATAGTGGTTTAATCGAACGTTTATTCCTTTAGAAATTATGTCGGCGGCCGAACCGGAAATGATGACTGGGTCTATTACCGCCGTGACGTCCACCGGTCTAACAGCGACTGCTGTTTTCCTGAGTCTCTTGGTACCGGCTTTGGTCCTATACTACATCTACTTCAAGATTTCGCGCCGTCATATGCTCAAGCTGGCGGAAAAAATACCGGGTCCGGAAGGTCTACCATTAATCGGAAATGCGTTGCTGCTCCTAGGAAGTTCGGACAGTAAGAAGATAATATAAAAACATAATATGTGTGTGTCGTGGCAAACGTGTATAGTATCCTAATTCGGTTATTTAATTCGACATCTCGGATTAATCAATTCTTTGATCTCAATACTTAAATTTAGACAACTTAACATTTTTGTTAAGTAAATTTTTCAAAGAATTTCTCATTCTTGCCACGATAATGCAGAAGAAATTCTCGTGAGTAAAATTCATCGTTCAGATCGTGCCAGCTAAACGTCGTTCTAACGCTCGCTAATAATTTGGATTCGGTAAATTTGACGTTACATATTTTCTGCATATCTTTCATGTTACCCGGATATATTATGACACCCGGATTGAATAACTGATCGAGTAGATTTTACTCCGCGTGACTAGCTTACTACGCATGTCACGTAATTTCCGATCGGCCCGATCACGCACCTCCGTGTCTCTATGTTGCAGCCATGTTTCGTAACATGTATAGAAAGTCTTTCGAGTTCGACCAAGTCATCAGGCTCTGGTTCGGGCCAAACCTAGTGGTCTTCCTTCTGGACCCGCGCGACGTTGAGATTATCTTGTCCAGCCACGTCTACCTCGACAAGTCCAATGAGTACCGTTTCTTTCAGCCTTGGCTCGGAAATGGTCTCCTTATTTCCACCGGTATGTATCAGCCAAGAGCTATCAACATCGAAGTTTGTCGCTCGTGAAATAAAGTTCCGTCTAGGCGAATTAAAAAATTTCTACCCTTGGGTTAGCAATCATCATTAAACTATTATCAGCTGTCATTAAGCGCGCGATACAATCGACGGGAAGCAAGCTACCGTTCAGTCTTTCCATTAAACTTACATCTTCCGTCTTCGTTACGAACGTTGTATAATTTTACCAAAAGATGTTCCATTAAGACAGGGTTGGGAAAGTTACTTTATAAAAGTATCTATTTACAGTTATAGTTTCCTTGCTAAAAATGTAACTAGTTACAGTTACAAGTTACCAATTCTGAAAAGTAACGCGTTACAGATACAGTTACTCAAAAAGTGTTATTTTCAACGCCTAAGTATGATATAATATCCTGGCATAATATTTGTTCGTATTATCGTATCACGGAATAACGCATATTGTTGATTTAATTAAATCTTACAGGCGACACCTTGCATAACTTTATTCACGAGTGCTTTTTTGAAATTATAAAGAAAGGAAATACAATAGTGGAAAAAGTTTGGCGCAAAATCAATTTAAAAGTCATAAATGCAAATCTATTTCCTCCTGAAAAACTTTCCTCGTAACATTATCATAAAATACTACGATTAGGCTCGGCTTTTTGTCTATCGAACGTGCGAGAAAGGCAATAAACTTCAAATTCCGCATGGCATATTTTTCCTTCACCGTTTTGCGCTTGGAGTAATGCTATATATTTGGAAAACATATTTCCCAATACCCTGCCACTTAATTCGCAAGATTTTGGAAAGTATATCTGCATAGGTATATGTATAAAAATTTATCATAATATATTATAAAGTAATATAAAATACATATATAAACTAACAAGAGGTAATCTTCAATGTCAATAGTAATTAAAAGACTTCAAAGATAACTTGACCATGTCCGGCAGTTTTTATGTTCAAACTCACAACGTTTCGACCATGGTTCGTGGTCCTTTTCAAATGATACAATATCAAATGTTCAGTGTAATAAATTATAGAAACAGAGCTTAGGTTCAGAACATGACTACCTCTTGTCGTGTTCTGCCTCTTGTGAATCTAAGTCTGTTCTTTAATTTATTACACTGAACATTTGATACTATATCACTTGAAAAGGACTACGAACCATGGTCGAAACGTTGAGTTTTGAACATAAAAATTGCCAGACATAGTCAAGTTATCTTTGTGAAATCTCATAAAATATATTTAAAAAATATATAATATATTTTTATTTTTTTTTATATTATAAAGTGTAAGGTTACAGTCTAGTATAAAATTTAATGAAGTTTCATTTTACGTGTTAATAATTTCAAATTTAATTTATGTCAAGTATTTCCAGACTAAAACTTATTGTATTTTAGACCATTCAATTGCAATGGAGCATCGGTCAAGCGTCTTTTTCCCTCTTATTCGCTTATCACTCCTTTTTTATTTGGACTTAATGATTCTTGTCAAGGATTCAGCCTAGTTAGTTTTACCTGTTTTACTTCTTTTAATAATAAAATTTATGGTTAGCGGGTGGTCCCGACTACGGCATTCAACAGAAATTACAAGTAGGTTCTCTAGAGCTCTATAAGAAAATGAAAAACGAGGTATAGAAAACAAGCGCATGCTCGATGTATAGCTATCGTCGGCGTATGCGCTGACTTTTATCGCCGACTTTCTCGGTACCTCGAGAGAAGGTCCTTTTTCTCGTTGACAAAACTCTCTCGTCGAGGCGTAACAGCGCAGCATGCACGTAACGATGCATGCTATCGCCTGGTTAATTTGCGCGCGACATCCGCGCTGGCAAAGGCGTCAAAGCACAGCTAGTATCCTTTTACGTACGTTTTTTTCTTTTCCTCCTTCCTCTTCCCCTTTTTTCCTTGCGCGTGTTTGTTTCGCGGTAACGATTAGTTGTATAACTATCACTTAATTGAGACTGTTATCATACTGCCCCGTAACTGTCCCTCGGTTGTCGACATCACGCGCGCGATCGAGTTTCGCAATTGTGAAATGAGAGAGTGAAATAAGATAGTAAAAGAACTACATAATACAGCAGAAATCGATTAAATTTAATGAAGGAGTAAACTTCTTTTCGCGTGGCAACATGAACCAATATCTTCTCCTGCACAGGCAATTTAAGAACGCGCGAGGAATGTAAGACGATTTTTTAATTAGAAAGTCGAATATTAATTTTAAGAAACTTCTCTCACGTCGAAAACTAATGTTTTCTGTTGCATAAGTAACTTGAGAAAAAGAGACACACGATGAATGTAAAATATGAATGAAATTAGAATTTAATTAGGAAACTAGTATTTATACCTTTAGCACACAGCCAGAAAGTGAAACTAGTATTTATTTAAAATTTAAAAAAGGATAATGTGCGTTTAAAGGAAAAGCAAATCGTGGTCTTAATCAAGATTTTAAGGTCAACAGATCCGTTTTATGGCAAACTTTTATGTAAAAACAAGTACCGCAACGCGATAAAGATAAATATGAGACATCGCCAACGAATGTAAAATATGAAAAAAAAAGCTAGTAAACCCGACTTGTCGGTTATTTTACTGGTTTTCTTATCTCACTTAATTTACTTTAAGGTCTTAAAATCTTGATTAAGAGCACATTCTGCATTTTCTTCGAATGCTTCTGACATTAGCTTGTCAGAATTTAGACAGTACACTAGTTTTTTTTTTAATTTTAAATTGAATGTCAGTTTCCTAATTGCTAAATTCAAAGAATATTTTATAATTATCGTGTGTCTTTTTTCCTCAAGTTACGTATGCAAGAAAAGATATTTAGTTTGCGACGTGAGGAGAAAAATTTCTTTAAACTTTAAGTTTTAATCTCTAAACTGGGGCTCAAGCATCCGACTGAAAATGAGCGCGATGTAACCGGTCCTTTGTTCTTATTTCTGAAGGACTTGGGAAAATTGATATTAGGAGAGTTGGGACAATTGAATTTGAATCGATTTTCCCGAGGAACCGGAGGATGAAGGCCGAGACTGGGGATTGTGTCGCAGCCCTTGATCATGAATATCGAGGAGGAGCAGAGACGTTATAAGATCGACGCCTATGCGTCGGATGCGCACGTCATGTGTCGCACGAGATACAACGCACTTGCATGTAGGCAGAGCGGAGAAAGGGAGAGTGAAATGCAATCAGTTCACGAGTAAAATCCGCGGAACGTAAAACAGGAAGGAAATTTGCACACGCCAGTGCTTTCTCTCCCTGGCTCCGTTCTCCGTCCCCGCGCATCGTACTACTCTTTCGTAGATCTCGTTGCACAATTACGACGGATTCCGTCTCTCTCTCTCTCTCTTCTCCGTCCCTCTCGCGCGTTGCAATGCATTATTCGGCTCTTTCTTTTACGCCCCGGCTCCTCCGCTCATTCTTCTTCCTACTTCCGCGTGTTCGGTAGAAAGTTCACGGAACACCGAATATAACGGGGTTGGGGAGGGAGGAGGAAATTTACATTATAGATTTTACACTTGAACACGTCTTCGTGAAATTTAACTCTTTCCCTTTCTCCTCTTCGAATTTTCTTGCACTGTTTCGTTAATCCCTCGCGGCAAATTCATCTAAATTATTGTGAACAATCTTCTAGATCATTCTATATAGCAATACATATTTGTTTTTGCTTATAAATGAATTTATTATTAACAAAAAAAACACTTTGTGTCTAATACTTGTAATTTGTAAGAAAATTGTAAAAATTGTACTCTTTTATAAAATATATAAATGCTACTGAAGGTCATTGCTTACTGGAATAATGCATTATAATAAAAATTCTAAACTATTTAAAATAATTTGAACTACTTAAAAAACTTTCAAATAGTACTTAAGAGAATGCGTACTGTTACAAGGACATCGTTGACACGTGACGTTTAATATTCGTAATTTGGAAGAAAATTAGATTCTTATCAAACATAATGCATCGACCTTGCTACTAAAACTTTTGTTAAACAAAAATAGAATTTAAAATGTTCTCGTTAGACTTTCAATTTATGGCCTTATTATTTAAATAATAAATAAATTACATTTAAGTTACAGATCATATGGAGGAAAATATACAAAAAGAATTGAAATTTCTTATAAAAATTATAAGTCGTGTAAATGCATCATTCAAAATTCTACTGGATTGCATCGTTATCTTTTAAAGAATTTCGATAACCGTAATCGTGGGCGATAGTTGACGTATTACGAAGATGATTGATCGCGGTTGGGAAATCGAGTATCCTGTTGACCCAAAACACCAAATCGGTGATCACCGTTACAGGTCCAAAATGGCGAGCCCATCGTAAATTAATCGCTCCGACATTCCACTTAAACGTGCTCAAGAGTTTTATCGATCTCTTCAATGCCAACTCGCGTGCTGTGGTGGAACGGATGCGTAAGGAGGGCGACAAGGAATTCGACTGCCACGACTATATGTCCGAGTGCACCGTCGAGATTCTTCTCGAGACCGCCATGGGTGTCTCCAAGTCCACGCAGGACCGAAGCGGCTTCGAATACGCTATGGCCGTTATGAAGCAAGTATCCAGAATCCAATTTGGGAACCGTCCAATTGAGAACTGAGACAATAAGAAAAAAATATATCGGGCCTTGTCTTGTGCACAGTTCACCCTCGACCAACGCCGAAGCTTAACCAGTTTTAATCGTAGATTCTCCGATCGTGTTATCGGATCTAGCTTTTTCTTAGAAAATTGTTTATTCAACATAAATCTTGGACATTCAAGTATCTTCGTATTGGAACATATAAGATGGATATTGTTATTGTTCCCTAGGATGTGCGACATTCTCCATTTACGTCACACAAAATTCTGGCTCAGGCCGGATTGGATATTCAATCTCACGAAACACGGAAAAGATCAGACCCGTTTGTTGGAGGTCATCCACGGGCTCACAAAGAAGGTCATCTCGCGTAAGAAACAGGAGTTCAGCAGCGGCAAGCGCAATATTATCAACGAGTCTGAGCAAACCAGCAGCGACAAAGTAATTTTTAAAAAGCTGCTTCAAGTAATGGACCATCATTACAATGTGCAATATATTGTTTTTAGAGCACTTCTGTGGAAGGACTTTCCTTCGGACAGTCGACCAACCTGAAAGATGATCTTGATGTGGACGACAATGACGTTGGCGAGAAGAAGAGGAAGGCTTTTCTCGATCTATTGATGGAGGCTGGTCAGAACGGTTCTATCCTGACGGACGAGGAGGTCAAGGAACAGGTCGACACTATCATGTTCGAGGTGGGCATCTCTCTTCATCACGTCGAGAGGACCGAGCCTCGATAAACCGTTCGTTCCGTCATTCGTTTTCGCAGGGACACGACACGACCGCGGCTGCATCGAGCTTCTTCCTGTCGATAATGGGCTGCCATCCGGACATTCAGGAGAAAGTTATCCAAGAGCTCGACGACATCTTCGGTGACAGCGATAGGCCCGCTACTTTCCAGGACACCCTCGAGATGAAGTACCTCGAACGATGCCTCATGGAGACGCTTCGCATGTACCCACCCGTGCCTGTCATTGCGCGTAAAGTCAACAATGACTTAAAGCTCGGTGAGTTCTTGAAGCCGGGATATCCGCGCGTCCAACCAACTTGAGGTCCTGATCAAACTTGAACATTTGAGAAATTGACATCGCGCAAATCGTGTATTGATCACATGAATATCATGCGAGTCTTCAAGAAGCGTTTAAGCGTTAATTTCTTTGATAAAGTAGATTTACGGACGGTACTTATAAACGTGTAGTTTTCTTATTGCGACGTGTTGCGATATGCGGAAACTTGTTCTAATCGTGAAAATTTACGATTGCCGTTCTTCAGCATCGGGAGACTACACGGTCCCAGCTGGGACTACGGTGATAGTGACAACCTTCAAAATGCACCGGCAGCCGCACATCTACCCGAATCCGGACGTCTTCGACCCCGACAACTTCCTGCCGGAAAAGACCGCCAATCGACATTATTACGCTTTCGTGCCGTTCTCCGCTGGGCCGCGTTCCTGCGTGGGCCGCAAATACGCCATACTCAAGCTGAAGATTATCCTGTCCACGATCATGAGGAATTTCCGCGTCAAGTCGGACATCAAGGAGTCAGATTTCAGGCTCCAGGCCGACATTATCCTTAAGCGCGCGGAAGGTTTCAAGATCAGGCTGCAGCCGAGGAAACGGGCGCCTACCGCCACCGCCTAGACCTAAGCATTCCTTCACCATTTTCGTAGAAATAGTTGGGTAGAGGAGAGCACGAGGGCAAAGAAACGAGTCGCGAGTTTCGAGATTTGAGCCCCGACGATGGTTCGCGGTAGCCTTCTCGACGAATTGCATCTCATGCGCGCGCGTGAAACAAACGCTGCCGCGCCAAGTTACATGTACATGTTGTATATTACTCGTCGTTATATAACGCATAGCTTATCGCTCACGTTGATATTTATCTCTTGCAATAAATGCGATACTTGCTGTGCGGCGAAATCGGAAAACTAAACTACTCCTTGTCCCTATTAACCGAGCGGGATGCGACAGGCTCGCGAGATCAAGTATCGGCTTGCGCGAGGACGCGATTCGGGAACGCTCCTCTCGAGACGGGAGAATCTTACCGGAGTATTCGCGGCCAATCTCAAGGTCGGTGAAAGCGCGACAATGAAAACTCTCGCGGCAGCTCGATCGGGAGAAATGAAGAAGGTTAAGGACGAGCTGAGGGCGATGCTCCCGATATTAAAACCTTCAGAAGTGAGAAGGTTGCTTTTTTCTTAAATAAAAGAAATTTTCTCCAAACTTCCCTCAACCGCGGTGAAAATAAAATATTCTTTGAATTTAACAATTAGGAAACTGGCATTTATTTTAAAATTAAAAGCACTGATGTACTGTCAAAATTCTGACATTAGCGGGGTTTTTTGGTTTTAAATGAATGCCAGTATCCTAATTATTAACTGTAAAGAATGTTTTATATTTATTGCGTGTCCTTTACTATACGCTCTTTCGAGGCGCCTCATTACGACGCTTATGCCAGTGTTATCTACATTTTGCCCAGATTACTCTTAATAAACGTGCCATCAAAGTTGTCCTATTTATATCTTCAAACAGATATCGTTTACCGCCTCACGAAGCGATCATCGATGAACTCGAGGAAAGCAATTACGTGGAATCGGTTTGCTATTTGAGAGAATTATTTGAACTCGACGAGGCAACTCGTAGGGCGGCTGGCCCTGAAACCTTGACATGGGAGAAGCCGCGCTTAAAGGACAACAGGGACGCAATGTTGCGTCTGAAGAAAAGCCTGATCGCTGTCGAGCGAGCCAAAAACGCCGGTGGGGGCGAAATATAAGATCTTTAATGTCACGTTTATTCCTTTACTCCTTTAACAGATCTCTCGATCTGTTTCCAACTTTAGATACTGGAACATTTTAATAATGTATTCTATAATTATAGAAATGTCAAGGTTTGTCTATTTATTAAGTATGAGTAAAAGTAGGAATATTACGAAATTTCTGGAGGTAGGAGACTACGTTTCCACAGCCGCAGAATTTCTGAATACAGCACTGCTCTTTCAAGCGATGACCTGGGAATGGTGGTGGGTAGCGGAGCGGCTTTACCGTAGCGCTCTGGAGAACGCTAAGCTGGTAAAGGATGATGATCAGCGGACGAGCACCATCACACACTATCTGTACGGCCGATTTCTATTTGAGCAAAGTTAGTGAAATAGTATATTAAACACGTGCAACAGGCGAATGGGCTTAGCAAGCTGAAACTTGCTACCAATTTTCTGCTCCAAATGACCGCAGTTTTCCTCTCTTCGCATTATGTATCGTTGTCAATACGCAGTTATTTATCGATAAAACTTTTATCAGACATTGAATATTTGAAATTGATCGCAAATTTAACAATGATTATAACATAAATTCAAAGGAATAAGGACTAAAGAGCCGTGACAGGATGTTGAATGTCATCTAAAAATAATTCTTATTTTAAATTTATTACGAAAAACATTACGTCAGCCAGGGTTTGAACTTGGACTTTCCTCTCACCATTTCGACCACCGAGGCATGATTAGAATATAATTAAATTAAAGTATTAAGAAAATTATGTTCGCACAATGCAATCAGTACAGGATACGACGGAGTCGTTATACCATTTAAAACTCGCACGTGAAGTATGTCAGGAGAAATCGTGGAACGCGTCGAAGATGACCGGTCGAAAAGAGGAAACTATCTTTCGAGAATGCAATGTGCTTCTGTACAAAATACTGCTGATGCATGCGCAACAAGTCCGTCCCGATCAACCGGACGTCGCTGTAAAAGCGTGCACCGAAGCTCTCGCACGAGCGACGGATTGTGAGCTATTTTTTATTTAAAAAAACTGGAAGAAATAGAGCAAATAAAGGGATAGTAAAATATTTGTCTACTGAACATCATGTTGTTACGAACGTCACGACTTTGTTAAAATGTTATCCCAGTATTTTAAGAGTTTATGTAAAAAATGGTGCAAATTGCATCTTCACCGCGTTAGCTCATCTTCGTCTCTCAGCCAAACACAGTGGTTTCCTTAAATTATATAACAAAGAGCTGTGCGATATCATCGGTCATCTTCACATCCGCAGCTGGACATTACGAATACATAGCAAACGTTCTGTACGAGCTGGGCATGAGTCAGTTACGATCGGGCGATGTGAAACTCGCCTTTCGGAACTTCTCCAAGTTCCTGGCAATGGTTAAGAGGATCTCGGACCCGGAGGGGATCTGCAACGCGCACATGGCGATGGCACTTGCGTACAAGTTATGTGTAACTTATGTTTTCCCTGCGTCACGGTAGGATATGGAGACGCGAAAATGGAAAGGAAATAAACGAAACGGCAAATAGAAAGAAAATAGATAATAATTTTGTATAGGTTTCGATTTATGTATATTTTACCGCACATGCAGACACGCTTATTACGCGATCTTGAAAAAATTCTTCGCGCGATTCTCACGGCCGATACGTATATGCAGGAATTGGACGACGACGCAAACACGGAAAAGCATCTTCGTCTGTTCGTGGTAAACGCAACCAAGTCTGGACTCACGAAAAAACTCGCACAGGCACACTATTGCACTGGCGAGCATTTTTTGAGCAAGGTACGGCATCACGATTGTAAAACAGAAGCAAGCGGTGCAAAGATTATTGACTAATCTTCTAGGGAAAAAATTATTACGTTAACTTCACTCAATTATTACATTACATAAAAACAGAATCAATAGATGCAAATATAAAAACTATATAATATAAGATTATTAAGATATAATATTATTGAACAAATATAAGGTCATTGTTGAATCTTATAGGAGAAAAGTTACGTTAATTTCTTTCAATTATTACATTGCATAAAATATATCAAACATACAAACGCGTTATATCTCATCCACTGTTTGCGATGTTAATAAAATTAACAAGTCTTCGAATTCATTAACTGTACGCAAGCAAGCATTTAGTAACTTTTCTTTAAGAAAAAACCAGATATTGCAACCTTTCATCTGGAAAAATCCTTCGAGCTGTATAATGAAGTCGGTTTGAACGTCGATGCTGATAAAGCGCGAGCTCTCGCCGGAGTTTCAAAAGGTGGGTTACACGTTTCTTCAAACTATAACGTGCGATAAACTTAAAATGTATTCGTCTTTGTAACAGGACAAAAAACCATTGAGCAATACGTCCATCTTATACGTCAGTGCGGAGCCGCCGATCCAAAAGCAATAACAGCACTTTGTCAGTGGAAAAATTGTAGAAGCGTTTTTTGGACTGAAAAAGAAGAGAAGAAGCTACAGACCGGTACGAGATAACGTTCAACGAATTGAGCAATCAATCAACGAAAATGAAATTAAATCCTAATAGAAGAATTTCGTCTCTTATAATTTTTAAACTTCCCGATTACCACGTTTGATTTACATTGTAATTGTAACTACGTAGGGCTCGCTATTATACGTTTAAACGGAAACACGTTTATACGTATAATTAGCTATCCGTTTATTAGAAACGTTTTTCCGAATACACGTGTTTTTACTTAACAAACGTTTAAACGTTTACTAGGCTCTAATATACGTGTAAACGTTTAAATGTTTGTTAAACGTTTAGTAAACGTTTAAACGTGTAAACGTTTTTCTGGAAGAAAATGTAAACAGATAAACGTTTTACGTTTAAACGTTTATTCGAAAAACGGAATAAAATCCGAGCCCTTTAACTACGTGGTATTATGATTTCAGAAGATTTGGAGAAGCACCTAAACAGAGAGGCGACATTTTAGGCTAGTATTCATAGTTAGATCTTACATTCAAGACTGTCTTAAGATTATTTTTACTCTGTAAGCAATGACATGTTCGAGTGTCTTCAGATAAATTCAAGACAGTCTTGAATATAAAATTTGATTACGATTACCGGCCTTAGTCACAATCTTCATATCAATGCCACCAACGCTGCAAAATTTCATTGAAAAATTCGATTTCACACACTACAGTTAATGTACTTTTTTACTTGAACATCTACACTAAATGTGCCTTCATTTTTGTACTAAATATTATAATGTCTATTATATCAATTCACATTCAAACATCATGTTTTATCAATGTAATGTAACGTTCCATTGTTATGGTAATGTATTAAAAATAATTTAACAAAAATTTAACTTCAATATTAATGATACACGTATTACAAATATTAAGAGAGATATTAGCAATGCTTTTGTAAAGCTAAATGTAATATACTCTTCTTTAAGTATCATGCATGATGATGGGAAGAATAATTAATTTTCATAATAAAGCAAATGCACTTGCGAATAAACTAATAAAAACGGTTTAAGAATTGTGTTACGTTATCTGCTGTTAGTTCTTAGCAGCGTAATATTAACAAGATGTAATTAATATGCATAATTTTCTCCATTATCTCCATTATTCAATCAAAAGATAGATGTTCTACTATAAATATGAAATCCTAGAATACGTATATAGGGAAATTTATTAACTTTAGATTTTATATTGCAATTATGTTACCTTTTATATAATTTACATTAGTATATGTAATTTCTCCCATACATTCCTTAAGTTTATTACATTAGGCTTAAGATTATATTACTCCCCCAAAGACTATTTTACAACATATATATATATGTATATATGTGTATAATTTTTATGAAGTTATATTTAAAAAATTAAATTTTTAAATAACGATACAAATAATGCATCGTACCAGCATGAGAATTTCGAAGATTTAATAAATATTTCCACTGATCATAATATTAATGAATGTCTAACAAGAAAATAATGTATCTTTTTATATTCATAATTATTTCTGCGTCTTCTGCAATTTATTATCAAGGGTCTACGTAATGTATATTTATAGCAATTGAATAATCGACATATTTGCCCCTAAAAATTTATTTACAGTTCCATATTCGAAAACGTTGAAATTTATTTATAATTACTACCTGATAAATCACTTATTTTCTCCACTCAAACCTGAATGAATAGTAATTTACCGTTATACATCATAAACAAAATGCCACACAGATTTCTGATAAATTATTATACAACTGTCTTTATAGTGTTCTTACTTTATATTTCTTCTGTACTTTATGTATATACACATATATAATATATAATATATGTATATATGTGTGTATATATAATATTTATATATTATATATATGTAAGCACACTTAATAATGTTATAAACACAAACTTAGTTTTATATTTTAATTTTATAACGAATTAGTTCTTTCTCTGTTTAATGACACTTTTACAGCACAGCTTCATAGTATTTTGTTCTGTTACATGAAAATCAGTATGGAAGCAAATACTATTATGAAACTTACACATAACTATCTTTAATATTTAACAAACACTATTCTTAAAGTAATATACAGTATAACCAAAATTCTACCAACTGCTTGGCTTGGATATTGCAATCCTTCCAATTTTCTTTATTTGATGAAAAAAATTAAGTTATGAAACTCGAATTACCTTGAAAATTTCAGCATACTGAAGAATAAATTTGCAATAAATTTTTGTCCACCGACTCTAGATATCCAGCAGTTCATATCTTTTCTTTTTAATAAATGGGAACTCCCGTGTAACTGTAAATAGATAGGCATTGCACACAAGACGAAAATGAATTTCTCACAAATATGGGGCAGAATGTACAAATAATTGTTTGCCACAAGTGCAATTAGTTCAATGTAATATCGTTATCATCCATCTCCATGATGCTAATCGGTTCTAAAGACGGCATATCGGCACTCTTGCGTATCTCACGCGATATGTTTTCTAGTGTCTCCAATTCAACCTCGTCCGAGTTCTTCGTATTCTCCTCTCGCTGTTGCACTTCAGCGGCAGCAAGGTTAAATACCTCCTGCAATATTTCGTTCGCTGCATCCGTAGAACTGGTGTCGAAAGTGTAAGTCGAGTTTTCATGCATTTTTTTGTGTTTATTGTTCATTGCATTATCATCGACCAATTTCTCAATCTCCTTTAGCTCTTCCTCTAATCTCCCTTTTTCTCTCGAACTGTCTGTTGGGGCTGTTTCTTCCGTGAATTTCTCATGTTTTATTCTGTCGTTATTTCTGTCGCTGCTTACCGGAACCACTGCGATATCGTCTTCACTGCTGTCTTTCATCTTGTCATACTTTTCGTTATTTGAAAGATCTGGCTTAAAGGTATCTTTTGTACCGTTAAGTTTGTCAACATCTGTAATTATTTCGTCCTCCGTATTTTCTTCATCGAACTTATTTTGTTGTTTTTCCAATCTCAATTCGTTGTCTTCATTTATGATTGTGTCAGCCGAATCACTTAATGTTTCTGTTTGGTCAGCCAACGTAATTTTTTCGACTTTATTCTCCGGCTCTTTTGTATCTTCCTTCGGAAACTCATCCATTATTGATACTTTTGGTTCCCTTTCTATTTCTTCTTCGCGATTATTCTCTAAATTATTCTCATAACTTTCACTATAATCTTTATTATCCTCGACTGTGTCATGAATTGATAAAATTGGTGACTTTCTAATCATTTCACTATCGTGCGGTGTTTCCTCGTGAAAATCTTCCACATCTCCTATTTCATTATTACATTCAGTAATAGTATTTTCTTCTTCTGTAGAAGGAACTTCGTTTTTCATTTCTTCACCTTTATCATCCATATTATGATCTTCTTCTGTAGTGACAGCAGTTTCTTGCGCATCTTCATTTTTATCACTGTCTCTATGTACCGATGTCTCAACCTTGTCCTCCGTTGTATCTTCAACCTGTCTGTCTCCACCATCCTCCGTATCTAATGTTACCGTTTCGTCCGGAATAACTGTCGATTTTTCGCATTGTTCAGATTCTTTTGTTTTAACATTTTCATCGTTTGTAGATTCTTCTTCTACGTGCGACTTACTCTTTACTGTATCCGGTTTGTCGCTTACGTTGACATCTTCACTTATTTCTGTCTCCACCGTTTTCTTTACCTTTTCTCTAGTGGAAAAGATCTCTTCATTAATGTCTTCATCGGTGTCATCCTCGACATTGATAGCAATTTCCTCCGATGGATCGTCGGTATGCTTATCAGTGGATGCAGTTCTATTGGAACGCGACTCTTCTTCGGAAAATTTGTCATCTTGTAACTCGACTTCCATTTCCTGCTTCCCCTTAACGCTCGAAAGGGGTAACTTTTCCAGTTTTAACGCAGCTTGCTTGAAATGCGTCAATCTGTGCTTCGCATTGGACAACTTGGTATCAAATGTTTTGTCGCACTTGTCGCAAGCGTACTCTGTTTTAATTTCCGAATGTACTCGGGGTTTCGGGCTTTTAAATTCCGTTGATGATGGAATTTCTACACTAGATATAGAAGATGAGCTTGTTCTACTACGAGTGCTTCTATTATTTCCTTTTTTTGTAGATACAGACGACAAACTTGTTGCACCTTTCGCCTTGCTTCTTGGACTGTCTTCATTGGACGTCTCGTCGGTGGATTCTGAACGTGCGTTTAATCCTACCCCTCCAAGTATGAACTTCAGTTTCTTTCTATTTGTTCTAGTTACACGGTCATTCAAATTATCTCTATGATTCTTCCTTAGCTCCAGAGACTCATCAGAATCTGAACTTCTATTACTGATCTTTCTTTTACGTCCTCGTCTTGACATCAAACGACTACTTGACTGTTGTTTTGCAACGATTGACACTTCCGTCGATTTCATTTCGTTCGTATTTGTGTGGTCCTTACTTAATTTTGTCACTTTCGATGGTGTGCGCTCGACATCGTCTATAGATCTCATTGTGCTGAAATGTCGCTTTCTTCCTCGTCTTGCTTTACCGTTAACAATAGAATTTCTCGTCTTGTACGAGACATTCAAAGGACTACTTTCAGCATATCTTGTTTCTTCCTGTAAACTGTTGCACGACATATCGTTGTTCTCCTTTTTCTCCATCTCTTTGTGCGTCTTCTTTTTCCTGTACGGTTCTTGGTTCAGCACGTCAGTTAAGAAAACTGCGCACAATTTCGTTTCTGCCAAAGTGGATCGTATCTGACGGGTACGACGTGTTTTATCAGTACCTGGATCTATTGTTATCCAACAATTCTTGCACACCGTTAGACCTGTACGATAAATTCGGTACATGTCGATACCGCCTGCAACTGTCTTACAACACCTGTCGCAATTTCTGGCATTTGACTTGTTTTGCAATTTAACCTGTGCATTGTTCCGCACCTTACGTCCGCCCTTAGCATGTCGTTTACGACGCGGCATGATATCTTCGTTTTCGCTATCGCTATCGCTAGAATTTACTGAACCATAAAATGTAATATCTGGAAATGTGGTAATAGTTGTTTTGCGATTTACAACATCTGTGTGTACCTGCAATGAAAAAAAAACGCAATTATATAATACAAATGTCATTGGAGAAACAAGAGGAAAGCTAACTGTATAATTTGGTAAAGTTTAGTACTTTTGGAAAATTTGAATAGTTTATCTCTTCATTGATTAGCGCCTTTAAATTGGTGATTGTTTCCTGATAAATCCTTTTTAGATCGTACAATACGTCCAAGTTATATCGACACGTTAGGCATATCAGTTTTGAACTGCTGTTCTTGAAGACCTGCAAAAACAAGACACCTTGAATCTCGGCAGCCCTACGTTATTTACCTTGCGACAGAAATGAAAACACTCAGAAAGAAAACACTTACGTCGTCATTGAAGATACTGCGGATTTTCCGTAGAGGATTAAATATCACGTTTTTGTCCTTGGTAAGATCGAAGATACGATCACTGTCCACTAACTCGTAGCATAGAAAGCAACATGGCATCGGCGTTCTCGCTGGTGGCCTCAACACCTCGTGGGCTTTCTTATGTTTTTGTACAAATTTAGCGCACTGATCTAACTCATACGCGCACTTGTAACATATCTTGCTCGACAGATCGATACATTTGCTAATCTAAGACAAGAGAACAGATTACAGCATTGAGAGTTATTACTTTGAAATTATTTTATCTCATTATGCTTAATCCTAATCATCTTTCTTTCGTGATGAATTAAAGGGGGAAGAGATGGATTGCGATACACACAAACGATTTTTGTTAAAAAATTAAATGACACGTCGATATAATACAGACCGCGAAAATGTAACACACAAATGTCCAGTTTTATGCAAATTATCTAATATCCGATCCGAGCGGATTCCTTCCTAATTTCAAACACTCGACACTGTATACGAACGTATACAACAACAACAAAAGCCGAAACTTCGACGCAAGAGACCGAGTAAATATTCCCAATCATTCATTGTAAATATATATATATATATATAATTTTTTGGTGTGTATACACGCACGTACACAGGCATGCATACGTACGTATTGCAAAATGTCGGTAAAACGAGACACGAGATGGACGCGAAATCAACACGAGGCGGACACGACCATAGACATAGTATATATAGACTGCGCGTTCCCTACTTTACTCGCGTGAAAACACGCGCCAACTTTAGAAAGAGATAGCTGGCGTGGGACCGTACCTTTATCTTTGTCGAAATGAAGTAGTGGGGATAAACAAAAGAGTAGAGGAACGATAGATAGACAGAGAAAGAGCTACGGCGTAAGGCATATGTCTCTTTCTCAGGTGTGCAATCAGCAGCCACAATGCGCAGTCTATATGTACATATGTCTATGGACACGACGCGGTCACTTCTCGTTTTCGTTGCGGAGAAAATTGCTCGTTCGCGCGAAAAAAAAACAACCGAGACCGAACGCGATTCACGCGGCTCGTCGCACGATCGCACACGCACACGCGATCTCCCTCGCGGCAACCCGGACCTCGGAGCTATTTATCACGCGGCGCAGTAACATTTACACATGTCCGAGTTCTCCTCTCGCTCCCGCCCCCTCCTGTTATCCTACGCAAGTTACGGCTCCCTGGCACAGATGACGCGGGGCGTCACGTTTCCCGCCGCGCGTCGCGCAGCTTGATGTCAGGTTGATGCGCTAAATTACCTTCCTCTCCCGCCCGATTTGCTACCGCGAGGCGAGACACGGGGGACGGCGTCGCCGATCCGGTCTCCCGGCTGACGAGTCCCCCTCCCCCCGCCCCGCCCCGGCGCGAACCTAACCTAAAACCTACAAATAAGCGCGATTCCAACCTAGACCGAGCGGCGATCGCTCGATCCTGAGACGCGACTTGACGTTTAGCACTCGAGCGTTCGCGCCCCTCCGACAATTTACGTAGATCTATCCATGTTTTTCTACCGCATCCTCCCTCTCAGCCCCCGCTCGAATGCGGAGCGACACTGTCAAAGCGAGAAGCGAATGGCTCTACGGGCACGGAGCTCCGGAGGGGAGGTTCGCTCGCAAGTACGCGCCAACCCCCTTCGGAGAAGGGACTCCGCGCGCCGTCGTTCGTACCTTGATGGACAGGCACGTCTCGATTTGATCGGCGAACGTGCTCTCGTTGTCCGCAGTGACGTCCAGAAAGACACCCTCGTTGCTGGCGCACACGAAGCAGAAGTGATGAGACATAACGACGCGCAGGGGAGGCTGACGTAGTCAGAGTAGCATTACCTCGCGGTAGGCTTAAACGCTCACCAGCCCAGCGACGCCCGTCAGTCCTCGTGCCCTTGCGTAAAACGACGCGTAAAAAGAGTTTGGAGTCGCGCGAAGAATTGGCGGTAACACTAGAGCTCGCACACAATATGGCGGAACCTTGGCACCATTCGATACGATATAGTCGATACCAGTCGATACTCTCGAACTCGCGCGTTCGCTTTTCTTTCGATTTTTCCCTGCCGACTCTTGCCTCGCTGTACATTAACAAATCAAAACGCTTAAAAAATGTGTCGACAACGTACGCTTGTGCAATGTATAATATACAATTTATCAACTTGTACAAATTTTTTAAACGTGTTTATTGGCTACAAATTAGAATGTTCGTAGACGCAGGGAGCACTGGGGAGCACATTCTAAATTAGAGACTTCAGGGTACTGTTGCATGTGTCGTACGACATATCTTTTAAGCGGGTCGATTGGAATCTATCGCGAGCGAAAGGCGATTAGTCGTTGACCCGTGCGAACGACGAGTCTGAAATCGATGACGATACATCTCGTGATTTGCAACGCGCGGAGCGATACATCGATATCTATTCGGCGCGAATTCTTTGAATTTGAGCTCGAGGTTACGTGGCACCGACATTGAATCGCGCGACGCTATGCTCTGCAGTCGTAAGTCATATCTGACGAAAGGAGATGTAAAAACGAAAACGAAATTTATTATTTGAGTAACAACGTAAAACAGCCTATCGTATAAAGATATCCCGCAGTCGAACGTTAACCAGACATTCATTTTACGGCGGCTTTCGCGTTTAATGTCACTTGTCATCGAGTGTCACTTATCAACGAGACGATTGCGTTATCACGCATTGCTCGATCAACCATGTTTTTACATCGCAATGCTTTGCGGCTAAAAGTCGCTTTAGACGACTTGCAATTCGCGCTTGACTTGAGGATAGAATTCAATTTGTAGGAAATAGAATCCCGTCCTGAACTACGGCACGAGTTACTCGTCCAAAACGGATTCGAGACTCGTGTTGGCGTGAATAAACTCGCGGTGCGGAATTGTGGTTTGAAACATCACGGTGTACTCCACGACGAAAGCCCGAGCGCTTTCATCATCCCTCGTATTTTCACCATTCAGCTGGACACTTTCCGAATTCCCTGTGCGGCCTCGTTCGACAAGTCCTCTATCCGGTCTTTCGGCCCGCCAAAGAGAAGCCTGAGGGTTTCTAACGCCGACGTGAATATGTTCCTACAATGCAAAACAAGCAAGTGAAAAGATTGTCTCTTATATCGTGTCTGGGGCAAATGCTTGCTTCGAAGCGTTCTCCCTCTCCTTTTCTCTTCGTTAAAAGGAAGAGTTACATTTCGAAGCATTTGCAGCATCAAGTGGACCGCAGCCCTATACGGAGAGATGAATTTTAACGAAGTGAATTTTAAGAGAGAATTCTCTCTGTGTAGAGTATCTAAACAAATGGACTATTACTAAAATAGTGATCGATCACAGCGTAAACATTGTTATATACATAAATTTTTATATAGAACTCGACGGCTGGGCAATCACCTGACACTGTCCTTGACGTTCACGTAGATCTCGCCGGGTGGCAGCTTCACGGAGGGCATCTTCTCTTCCACAAAGACCAGCCCGGCCCACAGCGCGTCGTCGAGGATCTTGAGCGGCATTTCCAGGAAGCCGGCGACCCTGCCGGTGACTGGGCTGGCAAATTCCAGGCTCGCCCGCACCCCGTCCTCCGCGTGGTCCAGAATCGTCGTGACCGACTCGTGGGAGCCCCGTGCGGCCGCGTACGCGCCGCAGAACGCCGATGTCATCGTGGCGAACACCGGCAGACCCAGCAGGCGACGCGTGCCCGCGAAGCCGCGCGCGTCCGCGTAGCCGGCGTTCGCGGCCGCGTCCGTTGCGGTGGGATCACGCGTGCCGCACATGACACTCAATTGCTGCGGAATAAACAGTGAATGAAAGCGATATGTGTTGCACACTGTTACGCACTGCGGATTTCGATGTGATAGAATTAAGATAAAATTTGTTCGCCAGACAATGTTTTATGCTCTAAGGCTATGAAAGTAACAATTTTACCGTACGACTATTAACAAAAGATGAATATTTTATAAAACATTGTTTTCAAAGTACAAAACAGCTATTCTGCTAAGGCCCTCGATCGCCGAGTAAGTTAATAGGACTTGGACCGAAGTCACTTTATATCACGTGCAAACCCGAGCCGGAAATAGCCGTAGCAACTCATCGTTAGTCTCGCGGTTCTCGCAATCGGTTCAAACATCGGACCTTAATATCCGCGGTGTACCTTGCTCGCGTAAAACTATTCTTTTACATTATTTTACAGTAACGGCTTTTACAGGAAACGCTACAGATTACGCCATCGTATATAGGATTTCTGTGACGTCAGCGTGGAAAATGTCAACTCGCGGTCGTGGGGGTTGCGTGTTCGACTTGGTACCGCTTGGCCTTCGCGGATTTCATGAGACCGCGGATGAATCGCAGGGAATTGTCCGTCCGCAAAGGACTCTCTGCTGCGATACGCATCAAACGTCGGAGGCAAACGGGTCGCGGATGACGGCAGCGAGTCCGCGAATCGATAACGAGGGCTGGCACGACGATTGTTAAATGGACACCACCATCGAACGGCGAACGGCGAGCCGGGCGACAGCTATTTATTATACGCACGTGATACGCGATGCGTACGATAGCCGAGGGTCTTTCGCTGGTCTCGCGCGGCATCTCGGAAGCCGTCATCTCGGAACCGGCCGGACACCCTGAGCTCGACGCGGCTCACCACGACGTAGGATGACACAGCCGAGGGAGAGGGATGCGCGAGGCTCGCGCCTGCGTCCGGGACTCCTAAATTTAGCCCCCGTCGTCGGCGTCGGCGTCCCTCGTTACTTTCGCGTCTCGAAGACTAGAACGCCCTATACAGCCGTTTATATCAGTGCTGGACTTAAGCTTGCGCGCTCCTGCCTTGGCACAACGCGACATCTTTCTTCTCCATCTTCCCTGTATCGAGCATAAAATAAATATAAGAACCGTTCATAAACAAAGGGGATGAATTGCTGTGATTGACAAAGTACTTAAAGTTTTTAAGAAAGTAATTAATAATCAAAATTGCATCAAAGAGTATTATAATTTTGTGTCCATCGGTGGAAATTTGTACGTGGTTTACTTGGTTTTTTTTTAGCCAGACCCTCTGTTACATAGAATTTGGATTGCAAATTGTTGCACGAAGACCAGGTCTTAAGTAAAGTCTTTAGCGTTTCCAAGCGTGAACCGCGCTCAATTTGCAACCCCTCGCGGCGCAAGCGCGAGCGAGAGGATCTCTTCGAAATATCTTGCAAATCGCACTCCGAGAGTGCTCTTCACCTTTGGCGATTCAAGGTCGCTCGATGATCCTTCACCGCCGTTAACAGAGATGAGCATCTGCGTGGCGGCGCGTGCGCGCACGGACGCGCTCCTGCGAGGGTGAGTCTACGGGGTGGAAAGTGTATACGCAAGTACGCCGCGAGCACAGTCGCGGGGGCATGATTTTAATATGCCCATTGACAAGATTGTCCATCGGATCCGATCGTCCTCGCCGTGACTCGTTCTCCTACGGAGGGACAGCTAAGGAGCAGCGCTCGTCGCAGCCGTCGCATCGCGTTCCCAGCTAAGCGAGAATGTACATAATGTAACCGCCGCACGGATGACAGGGGTGAGTATTTTACCACACATTTTGCCGTATGTCCGACCGACGACGCGGCATCTCGTGCCTCATTTCCGGAAGAGCGCATTATATTCTAAAGAGAACGCCCTGGCGTTCGAGCATAACGACGCCTGCGGTCGATTCATTTCCGCAGATCCAATCGCACCATCTGGAATGAACGAGGATGACGTAGCAATTAATTTTCCTTTCTCAATTTATAGTATATTTGTACTTAAATGAACACGCGTGCGCGCACAGAGAGAGAAAGAAAGAATAGCATATGTATGTGCATGCACTGAAAGTAAATTCTACCTATATACGAGATATGTAAAATAGACTTGGAATTAACTTTAAGACCGATTTTTAATTAACTCAATCAGCGATCAAGCGAATTAACTTGTCGAGTAATATTATTTTGTTAACGTGGATAGAATCATTTCATATCTTTTCCTATTCAACGTGCAAAGAAGGATTAAACTTGATACAATGCAATTACGAATTCTGCTTTAAGCAACTCTACCGACGGGATCGCTAATTAAATTAAATCGGAATTTGTTCGAAGTCGAATCCCATGTCGGGGGTTGGCATGTGCAACCGAGTGAAATTGGATAACAGCTGTTTAACAGTCACGGGCGCCAGGGCTTGGCGAATCGCTCGTCGACGAAAAATCAAGTTTGACCGTAATGTCGAATGCAGGTTCGCAATTAAGATGGACGTTCACGGTGCCGGGGTAGTCGCGATTCTGGGCACGGTTGGAGCCGCTACCGGGGCAATCTCAGCGGTGATCGTCTACACCATTTGCGCGCGTCGCCGACGATTGCTTACTTCGGTCGGAGGGCCGCTCAACTGGCACGTATTTCCTCATGTTCTCCTTCCTAAAATATAATGTATATTTTTGGTTTCGATAAGTTTGTAGATAGTTGCGACTAGTCTCTAAAACTCTATTCTAAAATCCAACGCGGCGACGCTCAATGCCTAAAAATATAATTTATTGCTGAAATAATAACAATAAAACTTAGTAGATTCAATTGAGACCGATATGAACATGCAAATATGCAATATCATAATTATATTTCTATTCATCTCCAATATCTTCCATTTGAATCCATTAGAACTACAATAGTATCGACCTTTGCCCAAGTAATTTCCTACGTAAATTTACGTTCAGCCACTGGCTGGAGAGGACCTGGAGAGAGGCCGCAATTAGCTCTAATAAGGTTTAAGTGGAAGATATTATTGTGATACTGCACACAAACATCTGCACTTTCTGACTCATATTGGCCTTAATTTGATTTACCAGTTTTCTGTAGACGAACCCTAATTATCATTTATTTTATTTTTGTTTTAATAAAATTCAATACTTATTTATAGTTTATATATACAAAAATTCATGGTTTCCAGTGCTTTGATAACTGCGTATTAATATGTTGTAAATTTTGTCTAGCATTAATAACAGTATGCAACGTACTTAGATATGTTTACGATAATAATTGTAACAACATACTTGGACAGATTCCACTGTGTCAAAAAATAAATTCTGTCTCTTTCAGGTTTGAGAAGGATTTATTGGACAGAGCCGAAGAAGCAGCCAAGTCATCGAAAGATGTTTTAGTCGGCGTCGCGCTTTCTCGGGATAATAAAATTATCAGACGTAGCGACAGTCATTCGAGTGATGACGAGTGGCAGTCTGATCATGTATTCGATAGCATTGCCAGTGACTCACCTAGAAGAGGTAGATACATGCGTGTTTAAAAAATTCTAATAAGGAATAATGTTGAAAACAATAAATCGATGCATATTAGGAGAAAAAGTTAATTTTAAAAATTGAAACACATTCGCACGAAGAAATTACGTTCGTATAACGTGATACAAAACGTAATAACACCTGATAATCAGAAACTATGTTTTTCTATAAAGTTTAGAGAACACTTTTTGTGGTGACGTACATAAATCTTTCCGAGGACATTTTTCTTAAAGTCAGAATATTTCAAGTCAACTTTATGGAATCGCATTGAAATGCCTTTTGTAATACGTGTCTTTCAGTTATACAGCATCTCTCCGAATCAGATGACATCTCTCCATCCCCAATGAGTCCTCTTGCGCCGCCGATTCCGGAAGGCACAGTGATCGCATCGGAGAAGCGCATGATAATCGTCAGACCACCGCCGCGAAGCATAGACGGATCTTACTCCAGATTGAATAGCCTCGAGATCGAGTCATCTCCACGGCACAAGGTATACATATTATACAGTTTCCTTGCGTTTTCAATTCAATAATTGCATTATTGTATTTATCTATCGTAGCTCTCGTCTTCCTCTTCGACTTCTTCGTCTGACGAAATCAGAGGTGAATTAAAGTTGGGTTTGATGTACGATGCCAACGCTGGAATACTTACAGTAAAACTTATCGAGGTATTGTATATCATGTATCTATTGCCGATGACATATTAATCGGAATAATCTCTCTTTAATTAATAATATATTAATTAATTTCTCCTTGTGCATTTGAAACAGGCACACGATCTTCGCGCCCGAGAATTGAGCGGCATCGCAGATCCTTACGCCAAGATACGTTTGTTACCTGATCGTAATAACGTATGGCAAACTACAATACACAGACGTACTTTGAATCCTGGTAAATATATTTTTTCATTATTTTCACGGAATTATCGATTCTCTTTAAAGCGTCAAAACTTTAATCTAAATTTTTTCCTCAGTTTTCGACGAAGACTTCGTTTTTGAAGTAACGCCTGCATCATCACTGACCGGAAGAACGTTAGAAATTCTGCTCTACGACTTTGATGCATTTACGAGACATCGTGGTTTAGGCTACGTACAGCTTCCTCTTTCTTCCGTGCCGGATCTCGATTCAAACTTGATCACTATGGTAAAACCAATTCTGCGATATGGGGCGGAGGGTGGATTTAAAGCGCCGCCTCTGGGTGAACTGATGGTCTCTATCTCCTACCAGTTGTCTATAGAGAAACTGACAGTTATTATTGTCAGGGCGAGAAATTTACCCATTCTCGACGATCCCGCAAACGCTAATCCGTATGTGAAGGTACGTACACATCGACGTGTTTTCCTTCTTACTCAAAGTTTCTTACTTAAAACACAAAATCGTTTAGGTATCACTCATGCAGGACGGTAAGAGTCTTAAGAAGAAGAAATCGAGTATACAACGCGAGGCTACCAGTCCCGTGTGGAACGACATTCTTACTTTTGATATCAGTAGCGACGTATTACCGAAGTGTGTCTTACAATTCTCTGTGCTACGAGCGAATGGCGATCTCTTGGCCAAGTGCCAAGTGTCCGGCTCGTGTCAAAGAGAATTGTTTCAGCGTGTATTATCCGGGAAAGGTGCTTCGGCACAATGGCTGCCGTTGTCAGAACCAGAAGCGCAACATGATGATAACGGCGAATCAAAAAATTGAAACCATCGCTGTTAAAAAAAAGGGGGGGGAAAACATATACGTATGCAAGATGGTCGCTGAAGTATTGAAATATTTTATCTCTTGAACTAAGTACTTTAGCAAGAAATGTTTTAGATTGGTAAATCGTTTGGTTTTCAACAGAGCAAAGTGACTATCTTAATTTGATCTTGCACCCTCAAAGTCATATCAAGATTGACAATTTACAACTCTTCGCAACCATATACACCAACCGGTTGGGAATAAAATAACGACACATCATCGACCAATCGTCTTATACGATGCAAAGGCACGAATATGTAATCAAATGAAATTATTATATGGCAAATTGTAATAATTATTCAAGTTAGATTCTATATAGCGGAGTGCACAGAGAAGCTACTTTGTTGAATAAGACGGTCTACTGAAAATAAATCCGCCGATGAAAGCAGGTTCTTTTAACGACGAAACAATTGTTATTAAATGCTACGTAAGAGATCGACTGAATTTACTAGCGCATATTATCGATCAGCACATAAATTACCGAGGATAAAATATAACGCTAGAATTGTAGCTCACTCCGTTGAACATACACGGTACAAAAAAAAAAGAACAGAATTCTATATATATATGTATGTATAACTATAGAGAGAACAGAAATAGGAAATATATTTTCTTCTCGCAACAGAGTTCATTAAACATGTTTTACACATGTTTCACCGATATTCTCATATATATATATATATTTCATATATAATAAGAGAAAGTAAAACCCTTATTGTTTGCGATCGCTTTTCTATGGTTGGAAAGAAGTATACACGTTTCTTAATGAAAATGTTTCATTGTTTATATTGTGTGTATTGTTATATTGTTATATTGTGTACAATATAACAGTACATACATACAAAGAACGGACCAACGCGATCCCTGAGCCTAGTCGAATAGACCTGTAACCAAATAGTGCATTGCGATTAAGACAGAATAAGTTACATCCATTGAATAAAATGATTGCTTTATTGAATTTTTATTCTTAAGAAATGGTCATTGAATGCTCTGTAGCTATATTAATCATTGAATATTTGTTCTTACGCTGTTCTTCAGTTATCTTTTTGTGATTGAAATATTATAAATTTGATGTATAACTCACCGAAACCCATGTCGTCGTCTGATTCTTCCTCTGGTTCTTCCTTCTTCTTTTCTTCTTTGGCTGGCGCAGCTTCTGCGCTAGCAGGTGCAGCAACGGCTGGAGCTTCAAAAGAGCAAAATAAAATATTTTTTACAGAATTCACACACTCAAAGACCTATTAGCCACTTTTAGAGGCACATTTATTGATAAAAAGAGGATTTAAAATACAGGCCAAAGCGGCATTTGAGTAAAATTTACAATTTTTCTATATTTTGTCATGTCGTTAACAAAACTTTAAGATTGTATCTTCATTGATATAATCAAACAGTTTGTTTACAATTTCTTTCACCTCTTTTGCTGACCGGGCTAGCCATTTGAGTCTAGATCGGTGGATGAAGAGGATAAAACAAACATTTGCAAGCAAACATGAACAACGTCCCTCCAAATTTACTTCAGATAAATGTAGTACAGTTGTAGAGGAAAGTCCTCTACTATGAGATTGTACTTATAATTAGAGCTTGCAAATAGCTTGTCAATATAAACACGTACCTGCTCCTACAGGTGCCGCTCCGACACCAGATCCAATGTTGGTAATTAACTCCTTAACATTTATGCCTTCCAAGGCTTTAGCGAAAAGTCCAGGCCAATACGATTCAACGTTTACGTTCGCCGCTTTTAAAATCGTCTGTATTTTCTCACCCTGTAAAATAGAAATACAATAACTCCAGATGATACGTCGCACTTACTTTTCGCTCTGCTTAAACTCAGTTTGCAGATTCCGTCATTTGACAAAATCCAACAATTTGGCTGAAACTTACACTTCTTACAGTGACCGAATCGAACAAAATGCACCAGTACATATAAAATGCAATGAAACATTGTTTTCAAAGGGGCCGACATAGAGTGGACCTACCAGTTATACTATGCTATCATAAACGAACACGTGTGTACAACCAAAAACCTGAGAGGTTAAGTTACAATGCTTTGAATGGAAAATTGTCTTTAAAAAGGGAAAGACAACATGAATAATGCTATTGCGATATTTAATAAACAGACGTGAGTAACGAGACGCACGCGGCGAGACCGGAACCACAGAATGGCGAAAATATATAAAGTTAACACGAGCGGCGTCGGTACTTACGGTTACGGCGATGTCATCGTCGACGAGTATCAGTGCGGAGTAAACGCATGCGAGCTCGGCCTCGGACGTCATTTTTTCTGATTAGATCCTGGCGATCGAGAGACGGATGGAACTTAGAAATCGGTGTAAGTCGTCGATACGACCTTAGCTCCGCGAGAGAGAACAAACACCGAAGTTCGCAACTTGCCGGAAAAGAAAAGGAACCCTCGACGGCCGGATGTCACGTGATACGATCGCGCGGTTAAAACGGGGGGCATGCGCGATAAGCGCCGCGCGTGCCAACGCGAGAAACAATACTTGCGTTCCAGTGGACCGACCAATCGGGGGCGGGTCCTGCGATGAATTGGCCAATTGAATATTAGTAAAGCCGCATCTACATAGAACGTGCGCACTGAGTGCACACGGTGCACACTAAGGCTCGTTTACAGCCAATTTTTATATTAAAGAATCGTATTACATATTTCTTGACATGACTCGCAGCCGGTAAAATGTTCTGTGTAGCATCCATACGGATTGTTTTTAGCTAAATACTCTTTGAGCATGTATTTAAGCAAAGTTAAATGTAAACATTGACTGTAAACTGGCCTTAGTGTGCACTCGGTGCGCACTAGAGTGCAAGCAATCGAATTCGCTGTCATTTCAGTGTCGTTCCCACTCCGTATCCGTACACGTCGAGAGAGCACGAGTCTTGATTGACGTGCACGATGACACTTCTGTGTAGAGCATAGTTTGTCAATATATCATGTTTCATCGGTTCATTAGTTTAGAAGCTAACTTTGGTTTTTAATTAAGTGTGGAAACGTGCGAGGGGCGTGTCAACTTGTCACTGATGCAATAACTCGCAATGTAATAATTTTTGCAGGCAACATTCTATTCCTATCGTTAATAATTTACCTCTGTATTAAATAAATTAGACATTGCAGTGAGAGAAGCGACACTGGATGTAAATAACGATCATTAATATTACAGATATTAACAAGCATGACTGGCCTGGGGATAGACTTTGAGGACGATTTCTTCTTCGAGGAGGATAAAATGTTGGTTACGTAAAGAATTGTGGATCTTGATTTTTCATTAGTCAAAGTCTCTTGTACTACGTTCGTTGTGCTACATTGCAGCCTTAATGTGCTTTCTTTTGGTCGTAAAATGCATGCCTGATTGCCGCGGTGCGGTGGGAAAAGTCTAGCGACTCGGGCTATTCCGGCTATTCGACACTCGCAAGTACTAGCATGCTTCAGTGTTCGAACGAATCGACTTTGGCCGAAGCTCCTTCCGCTCTGACCACCGTACCATCGGCTAGCATGGAGCTGCACCAACTGGCTATGATGGAAGATCGCATGTACGCACTCTTCTTATGTCATATTGATTTCTGATATAGACTTTTATACTTGGACTGCTAACTCCTCAAAATCTACAAATGTGGCGCATATGTCATGAATCCCGTATAGGGAAAACTCAAGAAGAAAAAGCATACGTTGTGAGAGGTCCCGATAATCGCACCATCTGTGCATGCGTTCCATCTTGACTTTACGCCATGCACGCACAATATTCTGGGTTCGGATTTTACGTTAGTTTAGCCAAGGAGTTAGTAGTCTAGGTATAGTAGTCGGTGTTTCTGATACTGCTGTGCGCTTCATATGTATA